ACATAACAAAAGGCTCCTGGGTTGAGATGAGGACAGGGAGAGATCACTCACTCAATTATGGTCACAGAATACAGGGGAATCTCAAGCTCCAGCGCCGGGAGCACCTCCTCCCTCTCCTTCTGCACTGACCTGGGTGTCTGCAGGGCTGTTTCTCTCACATATTCTCACTCCTCTCTTCTCTGCTTTTTTTCCTTCTTAAATGATATCACAGAGGCACTACCACCCTCTCTGACTGCCTTGGCCTTGGCCAGTGGCAGGTCCACACTGGGGACAGTTGGCATTGTCTCTGTTGGACATGAGGGAAGTTTCTGGCAGTTTCTCACAGAAGTCCCCCCAGTAGCACCCCCCTGCCTCCAAACTACCTGACCATGCAAAATCAATACAAGGGACGTAAGCAACAGAACCATTTCATGACAAAGTAATCATTTCTGTGAACTTCAGTGGAGTGAGCAAACAAACAAAATGAAGGTATTCTAAATTCTGATAGTTAATGTAATTTTTTTGAAAATTATGTTTGAAAAGTTAACCAAGATGTTAACATGGACTCAGTATGCCACAAAATGAAAAGACAAATAAAGAAAACATTTGAAGTAAGTTTATCTTTAAAACACAGTGGGGGTTTTTCACTACCTAAAATACTGTTCAAGTATGGGAGCTGTGTTCTAATTTGTTCCTGCAGCGACCTCTCTACTTTACCTCTGAATTACTTTAAGAGTGCACAGTAAAGCTCAGTTGCTCATCAGGTAAATGTCTGCTTCTACTAATAAGAAAAATCAGCCATAATAAAAGGCAGATAGCATTTGCTGGATGCAAAAATTTCTCTGCAATTATCACTTAATTGTCCTTCATGGGCCAGTACTGGGAGTCTCATACTTTCCCCTTAAGGTTGTTCCCTTCTTCAGCACTTTTCTTAACTGTCTACTTAATTAGTCTTCCTTCCTGGGCTTAATTGTAAATTTGTTTTGATTAATTAGCCTCTGAGCTGACTTGGCACTAACTGAAATATAGGAGAACTACTCAGTTTCTTCAGTGTATAGGCTACTGTATCCTAGGGGAGCTCCCTCTTCATCAGCAATAAAATTCCAAGTTCAGACTGTGTTTGAAAAAAACTTTTTCATAATTAACTTTCATTTCTTGGAATTACTCCCACTGTACTATGACACAAAAATGTTGCTAATGTAAAGAAAGGATAAACTTCAGTAAGTTCAGGCCTCTTTTTCAGTGGATTATACATCATGTTCATTAGCTGAATGCTGTCATTTTAGAGAAGATGACATAATGATTTTAAACCACACGAATCATATCACTATTAGAATCCCAAACTGAGAGCGTAGGTTACCAGTACAGACAGCTGTGTCCTCATGGCACCAACACCAGAAACCCTTACCCATACCCATCTCTTTCTGAAGTTTTTGAGTTTCATTGAAAACCCTTTCCATAACCTAGTCTGCAAGACCTTTGCACCCTAATACAGCTCTTCATTATGTTTACACCTCTGATATCACTCCTTTCCTCTCCCTCTTTATGGCATGTTGATTCCAGTAGATACCCACACAGCGTTATCATGCATCTGCCATCTTGATCAATTCTCATTTCAGTTACTGTTACTGAAAACTCAGGAAAAGGCAACTTTAAACACCAGGACAATGAAAAAATTTAATAAGATAAATGAAATAACGTGTGTTAACAGCTAGCAAACTTCCTGAATACTAGTCAAGAGTACTGGAATTCTTCAGTTTTCAAATTTAAAAGTCCTTAGCTATCAAGGTGCAAAGAGAAGTTAAAAGTCTTATTCTGGACATTAATATTTTTTCCTGTGAATACTTTCAGATTTGTATCTCAACTGAACAGTCAGACTGACAAAGTAAACACTTTGCTTCTTCCAGCTCCTTGTTTCAATCATTGTTCCTCTTGTGCTCCGTACAAGAGACGACCGCAGAAGAAGTGCAAAGGACATGTGGTTTTACAACCTTTGTGTGCACCTTGGGCACAGTTTAACTGAAGCAGATCAGAACAGGAGCTTTGTGGGTGGGCTTAGGACACAGGGCAGCTCTGGAGGTACATCTTTTAATGTATTCCTTCCCTAAGAATCTGCAGCTGACTGTTTTGACTGATGATCAACCACTTTCATTGTAGAATTGACCCATAGGAATCACTTTGGTTATCAAATCCTAAATGAAGTTGGTCCATGCAATCTGAGAAAAGTTTGGCTTTGAGATCTCTTCTGACTGCATTTGTGAACATCCATGAAGTGACACGATATTATGTAAAGGAAATGTACCAGCTTGGAAAGATTAAGATATTCAATTACAACAGCTGTCAATACCATTAAAGAGGCATGGTCCATGCTTTTCAGTTAGATGTATTATCTGCGATCAATCACCACTTAAAGTAAATCCTGTATTACAAAAGACATCATGCAGAGTCTATACATCAGTAAAAATGTAAGAAATATTCCTTTGTGCTGAAATGCCTTTTCAGTTGTTACGAAATGAGGAAATAGCTCTTTAGGTTTATTGTATTCTCCAAATGTTAATTTAAATTTAGCTGTGCACTTGAAAAACAGAAGAAGCTGTATATGTGCCTCAACAGTTTGTTTTATTGGTCCTGTTTATTTTTTTCTGTAATTACTCAGCTCACAATCTCCTATTTTATGTTTACAGAGTTGTACAAATATGGATGTGCATACATATCTGACAGTTCTGCAATCATTCTTCTGCTGCTTTAAGATGCAAAAGGTTTGTTTAGTAAAACAGGAACAGCTTTCTAACCAAACGGAACTACAAAAAGATAGATTTGCAAAAGAACCTACTAACCTGTAATTTTTTCAAAGGGAGCCAAAGCCTTCAAAACTCTGATGTTTTATTGTGGTGGGACTTCTCAGTTAAGCACCTTAAAACAAGTCTCTGGATGTTACCACAGTACCTACTACAGAACACATGTACCTACTAACATGAAGCTGAAATATGTGACTTGGCTTTTGTTTCCAGCTCTCTCAATTACTGTTGACAGAAAGCAATGAATTAATATACTAAAACAGGGATATCCTCCAGGATATCACTATGTATCCTCCAGGAACAGTATGTATATCTCACAGTCAGTGGAAAAGGCCATGTCTCTTACACAACAATGCTCCCAACTTCATTCCACCACAGGTAACACTGGCTAACCAATCTCAGCCTAGCTCAACAAAAACCTGGCTAAACCACAGTAGCCAGTGGAAGTGAGATTACTCAGCAGAGTAGAAAATATGCTTGTAAAAAGAATCACACATAAGCAGGAAGAAGAATGCGAACTACTCACATTTTGGAAAAGGCTTTTTTATTTGCAATATCCAATTTGGCCTGATGTACACGAAAATGGAGCCAAACCAAGACCAGGCAGAGTTGAAACATCAGCTGCTGCTTCTGACTAGCAACTGATTACTGAGTGACACGCTGCAGAGCTTAGCAGCCATAGAAGTCCTGGAACTCTGAAGATCCTCTTGCACCTCCCCACACTATATTCAGGCTAATGACACAGAAGCAAATTTCATACAAGTGTCCAGTTGAAGAAAAAAAATTAAAATGTAATCCAGGGCAACAGCAAACAACCTAGCTCAACTCAAGAACTCCTGCAGTGCATTAATGATTTAAAAAACAATTTTGAGAAAGTGGCTGCAAGTAGTACAACATCCATGCTAACAGAATGAACCTAGCAACATTTAGTACCAAGTCCTACTGTTAATGGCAACTGATTTACACCTCCTTGCAACAGAATTCAACTCAATTTATCTCCACCCGTAACACACTTCTTCCTCCCTTTCATGTTCCAGACCTCGATGGAACACAGAGGCCAGCAAAGGACAAACAACTGTGCTTGAAGCCCCATCTACTGACAAACAGTAGAAGTGTTGCTAAGCTACAGCGATATTCCAGCGAACATCCCTTGGCACAACTGGTATTGCTTCTTAAAAAAGAAGTAAAACACAAACATTTTGAGATGTGATCCAACTACAAAATGTTCTCTTCGAATCACACAGGACATCTCTCCCAAGAAACCAACTAGCCAGAAAGCAACAAATCCATACAGACTAAAAAGCAATATACTTTACCAAATCCACCCTATTCTGTTGACACTCCTAGACTTAGAATTAGGAAAACACAAACAGGCATGCTGACCTCAAACCTGCATTTGAACACCCGCACTTTCCAGCCTGTGTCAGGAAAAGGTCTGCACGTTACTTCTGCCTAAGGAAGCATCCTGAAGGACGTATTTCTCACCACTTACTCTTGACCCAAAAGAAAATCGACTCAAAACCTTGCTGCAGAGTGCCTGTACAGTGCAGTGGGGGAAGACACATCACTGCCTGATATGAGAAGGGTAACGTATCACTTCTCATTTGAGTCCACGAAATGAAAACACATCACTGGCAAGCAACAGTCTGCTGAGTTCTGTCACAACATCATCCATGCTTTCCTTTAGGGTCATGAGCTCCCTAGTCCATACACATTCACTAACCCTTAACAAAGTATCCATCCTTCCGCTACTCAATCTGCAGACAGGTAACACTGAAGAAAACTCGCAGAGTATTTTCATTCTAAATTCCCTGGCCTTTAACACAACTGCAAAGTTTTCTTGTTCTGACTTTCAACTGGAACCGATGAGCTGCTGGGATCAGAGACCATTGCATCCATGGTCTGACTACGGGGAAACATGCTTGGGTTAGAAGCAGAGACCTGAGTTTAATGCTGGCCCTCTACTCATTTTCCAAGCGGCAAAGTTCCAGACCTCTGCAGGCCTGAGGAGTTGAAAGATTAAAAACTAAATATTTTAGTGGGTGGGATTCCTTAAAGCAGTGGAGACAGCATATATGCCCGTCTGGTAATTGGTATGGCTCCAACACAGAAAGAACAGTATTTGAATCTTTCTGATCTCAAAGAGACCATTTCAAGTGCAAAATTCAGAAAAGCTGTCAACATCAAACTCATATTTAGTAACTAAATGACTTTTTTTTTTTATTTTAATTCAAACTGCTTACAAAAGTTGAAGCTGAGAAAAAAGTTCCTTCTGTGTAGTCTGAACTCTGATACAAATAGTTCATATCAAGACAGAGGCAGAACTAAATGGCAAAAGGCATGTTCCTATTTCATTTTCCAGTTACATGTGACCCAACCATGAATGCAAAGATGTCACATAACCCCTACCAAGTATTTCCACTGTCAGTATGCACTAGCTACAGGAACTACTACTTGAAAGAGAATGACAACAAGTATTATCTCAGACTCCCCAGACTAAAGGATCTTTCACAGAAGCATGGCAGTCTTGGTGTCCAAGCCCTTTCACAGACACACAAAGTTAGCTGGCAGCTGAAAGCCAATTCATTTGTCCTACTTATTGTATACTCTAGATTTAGCATAAAGATCATGGCCAAAATCATTTATGAGGTCAATACTCAATCCTCAAATCCTTAAAAGTTCTCTATTCCAATTCAATTTTCCTTATCTCCTTCTCTTTGAGGATAGCAGTGACCAGAGAGAGAAAGCACCCCATCAGAATAGCTGTAGTTTATCTTCAGTCAGAAGGAACCTTGAAGAGCTTGGGAGACAAATGCTATGTATACCATCTGCTGTCTAGACTTGGCTTCTGGAGTATACAGTATAATTACAGCTTTCCCAAAGGTCCTTATTACTACCCCGAACACAGCAAGGAAATCAAAAGGAGCTATTAAAGTAATACATTTGGCAATGACCTATCACTGTTACACAAAATAAAGCTATCAACAATGTTCAGAGTTAATCAGGCCACAGCTTCCACACAAAAGACACAACTGATAAGTTCCTACTTAAAAGCTCCTGCTTTACTATTGGAACCGGAGGCACTAATCATACAGCTGCCAGACAAGGAACAAATGCCTGTCATTAGCATATTTAGAAGGCGGCTGGACCCCAGCACACAAACATTTCAGCAGCCCATCTCCCAGACAACAATTACTGGAATGCAAACAGCAGGTTCATCATTTAAATAGAGATTATTCTAAGCAGTTTGTACCAGGCAGTTGTTAAGACTATTTATCAGATGTTAGCTGAAGATGTCAACATTTTTTCAAGTGCTAAGCATCTTTAGGGAGATTAAGCATATTGATACAATTTGGAACAATAAATATACCCACACATTTTATACTTGTATCTTTCTGTCACTGGATGGCACAAGAACAGTAATTGATGCAAAGTGAGGCCCTTCAGTATCTCATTTTAGTTTGAAAGCAAACTACTGAGGTTCTTTTGGTTTTGTTCCCAACTCTTATGTTGACTTCACCTGCTCTGTTTTAATCTGTAATGTTAAGGTGGGCACACTCAAACATTTTTTGTATGTAAAAAGAACTCCAGAACATACAAAAGCTTGACAAGTGTTTCAGCAAACTTCTCTGCAGAAGGTTCTTCACCTGACTTTGAGTTGCGTGAAGAGAAGAATACTTTCTTCATTCAGAAGATTACGTATGTTATATCCATTTCCTACAAATAAAAAGAGTAAGTTTTCTTTAGGAGCCACTAGCAATTTTTCAAGTTCTGTCCTATCTTCAGCCAAGTGCATTTTTATTTCATATATTTTAGCAGAAGAAAAATTAGCTCCTAATCTAGGATGCCACTCTTACAGACAGGTCATTGCATTTCAAAAAGATGACACGGAATACATCTAGTGTCACCTATTTTAACCTGTGGTAAGGATAAAGTGCATCTTTGCTTAGAAAATTTTTACTGAAAAGAATGTAACAGGCCTGAGCTCTCAGCTCTCAAAACCCACAATAAAACTTTAAGGTGACTGAGTTTAATTTATTCCTATAGAAATGATCAATAAAATCTGCATAATAAACTATCAATAAAATGAAAACTTACCTGCAGATCTTCACTTGAGATTTGCTCATTAACATGACCACAAAATAGAATCATCTAATAGGCTTTGTGAATGAGCAACATCCTAACATTCATAAAGAGTCACACAATGACTTACAGAGATCACCTGCCACAAACACTGCACTGCCCATCCAGCCATACTAAGACCAGCCAGGAAGAAGCAGGGAGGATTGGGAGATGAACTATATATCCTTATGGTCCTATGAAACTTCCAGCATTTTATATAATCCAATATCCCAAAAAGCAAAAAAATGCCTCTGCAGACGCCCTAAACTTTTAAGAATAAACACCAAAAAAAAAAAAGCTTTAAAGCATCAAGCATTAGTTGAACAATGATTGCTCAACCAGGACATTGTGCTGAAAAGTTAACAGAGAAAAAGGGCTAACTTGTCATTTTCTAAAACAGCCTCTTCAGAAGAAAGCTATACAAAAGCTTTCTACAGCTTCCTGAACAGCTCGCTTTACAAGTACTACAAAATCTTCTGATTAGTATCTTAAACCACTGATGAACAGCTTCCCATATGGAATTCATGTTACTTTTACATTAGAAGGACAAAAATCAGGTCTTTAAATGCTCAACAACTCATACAAAGTTACGACCCATTCAACAGGACATTCTGCACCTTCCATATATCAAACACAAAGCACAAAATATGGAGAACTGACCCAAATGGATTTTCATAATTTTACATAGAAGAAAACAGCAAGCAGATGATGACCAAAACAATTATATTAGCTACCACTATATTAAGCTGTCTGTGATACCACTATATTAAGCTGTCTGTGATGTTTCCCCAACATTATAGCTAGTGACAGAACCAGAATACCAAGAGAAATTTACTCTTAGAACTTGGTAGTGTCTTCAAAACTCTGAGGCCAACTCACACGAGCAAGCAGTATGTGAGTCACTGCATTCAACAATTAGACTATCAACCCATGTCCAGTGTTGTGTCACATTCCATCTCCATAACCCTATACCTTCCCACTCTCTATTCCATCTCTCTTTCAGTCATTAAGTTTGGTTTTGATTCCTAGCACGCTAATTCAGTCTCAACCACCTCCAACAAATTGGTTTTAGACACATGTACTCACCTGGAGGAACATAGAAGGAGTCTCCTGTAGTCAGATAATATGATGTCTTATGTAATGTAACAATAATTTTGCCGCGGATAATATGGAAAGCCTTAATGAAAGCCAAAGGATTCTAAGATTAGCAATACTTCCTTTGCAAACATTTAAGAAAGTTATCCCAGAAAACATTTGCACACATGTTGTAACAAAGATAAAAAACAAAATAAGCTGGCAGAACTGCAATCCCTTTTTTCCCCCCACACTGCTGAAAAATAAGATGCACAACTCAAAAGGGGGATGGAGTCATCTTATTTATTTGATACTTCTGTCTTGCCTGCAACATCTAGACAGTAAGTGCACATAGACATAAAGATTTAGTATGACACAGAGGGCAATGTGCATGCAAAGTACCTCTGGCAAATGATTCATTAACGTTTATGCGCATTAAGGGAGGAAAAACCCCTGAAAAACCCGTCAGTTTCATATGTTACTTCCAACCACACTAAGATCTCCTGTTTACACAGTCAGTTTTATAAAAATAAGAAAAAAGCACACTTACTATTGTATCCATGTGGACAAACTGGTGTCCCTTTTCCTTAAGTGGTTTCAAAATCAATTTACCAGTTGCAAAAACAGATGTATTCAGATTTTTGTATATTTCTACCGCTTCGTCTTTGAAGGAGCAAGCGTGACTGCTTTCAGTGTTAACACATTCTACAAAAAAGTCCAGGAGATTAGCATTAATGCTATCATATAATTAGTCTTGTTATTTGCTCAATGCATTACATATTGTTTCAGTGCAACACCTTCAAAAGCTATATTCAATATTTAGCTGAAAAATCAAGACACTTTTTGTTTTCCTCAGAACTTTCTCCAGAAGAGCAATGAATATTTCAATAGTTTACCTTTTTATGCCCAATGTGGCATGAACAATTTTTTTTCTTATCAGTCTAAACACAGCTTATATAATTCACAAAGTCCCTTGGTCACATCCTTCAGCTCACCTAGAACTACCTCCTCATTTGTTTCTGGGTCCAGTACAATGGTTGGCTTAGAAGTATCAGCTAGGTTGTGATCCAAACTTGCAGGTATCTCTCTTCTATCTGAGGAAACAAAGAAACCAAAACAAAATCAGAGAAATTATCACTATGCATTTTAAAAACTTATCTAACTACAACTTTTCCACAATTCTAATGTCACATGTTAAGTACTTAAACTTGTTTTAATAAGTGAACTAAACAGACTGAATACACTTCATTTAAATAAAAGGAAACCATCCGTAACAATTCCTTGAAAATGTAATTTTCATTGAAATCATTTCTGTGTGTAATAGATGAAGGCTCTCTAAATCCTAAGAAATTTCCCAGGGGAATGCCAACTATTTATCCTGTGCTATTAACAACAGTATTTATTCAGAAGTATCTGTATTTTCAGAGAAGTGCTTTTCTAGCAACAGATGCTGAGAGGATATAAAATATAGGATGAAGACTAAGTTTTTTTGCTTTTACCTATTGCTGATAAAGGAGATTTAAGAGATAAAGCATTCTAAAGACTAAGCACATGTCCAATTATCCTTTTCTCAAGAAATACCATTACAGGAATCTCACTGTATGTTGTAAATCTGAGAACTATTTCTATAATAAAAAGGATTTTTCCAGAGCAGGAAATATCCTAAGAATCAATGACAGATTGATAGATCAATCAGAAAATAGATGCTAGAAAATGTTCACAACAGAATATCCCAAAGCTCTCTTGCAGAATTCTCATAAGCAGACAATTTTAGCTCTACAGTGCACAGGAAATTTCTTTAAATGCAACCAGAAGCAGCATGTTAAAGGCAAGCTGTTGCACTTTGTAGGCACTCATGGCTGCTTAAATACCCTTACACCAAGACAGTCAGAAGTAGGAAGAAAGCTGCTGTGTTTGAACAGCTCTGTTCCAACATAACCATCTCTGTAAGCAGCATCAGGTGTAACTCTACAGCTATAACAACAGAATTTTTATTGTATCAATAAGATTTGAGAATTCGTGCTAGAAATTTTACTCAGCTGACAGTCCCTACATGCATCACTAAAACTGAAGGATGTGAGCAAAGGATCTCTGAGGATGGATGTGTGTTAGAGAGGAAATCGATCACTTCTGGAAGACAGTTCAAATGCACCCAAAGCAACCAATAGCTCTTGTAAGATACGACATAAACAGTCACTACCAGCTCAGGTTCACATGTGCTGCAAATTATTTATATTACAACGTAAACTGTACTTGATTGATCTAGACCAGGATTCTGTCTCCTATCAGTGGCCAAAAGCAGGTACTCCTTCCATCCCCAAAAATGCCATAACAGAGGCACTTCCATGGAATACTTCCCACCTCTAAACTGGAGCTCATACATATTTAGACAGTTAAGTCTCCTGTTAATGTATCTAGATCTTGTCTTGAATCTACACAAATATTTTTGTCCACAATATTATGGGGCAGGAAGCACATAGTGAGAATGGTCACCTTATTCTGCTAAAGAACTCAGCTCTCCATGTCTTCCTGCCACACTTTCTAGTTCTCGTGTTTAAAAACAAACATATAAAAAAAAAGCCAATAAAACAATTTATTCCTATTTCCCTTCTCCACACCACTTGTGATTTTATAGGTCTTTCTCAGGCAGCCACAGAACTCCCCTGAGGGCTGAGGAGTCTTCACCACGTAGTTGCTTCTGCACAGAAGTCCTTTCATGTTTTTGATGAGCTTTCCCTGAACCTTCTCTAGTCCTACCACTTTCTTCTTGAGTTAAGGGATAAAATTCACATGAAACACTCTAGAAAATCAGATATTTTTACCAACAGTGACCATTTTCTTCCTCATTTCTCTGATTATTATTTCAGCCCTGATTTAGTTTAGAACTGTGTTAGGACCATATGGCATTATCCATTCTTGTTAGTATTTGTTTTATTAGTTCTGTAACTTCACAGAGAAATGTTTCAGTTTCAAACAACAGTTCTAGACAGTCCCCACAAAGAAAGGCTCTTGAAACATCTTCCAGATTGCACAGTAAAAACAATTTGGCATTTGAATTTTGACTCGCTTTTCTGAACACTATCTAAATATTTATTATCTTCTGGCCACAGAGGCTCTAGCTAAGCTTCCTCTTCCTGTTTGTTTAAACACAGATTTATTGCCCACTTTGAACCATTTTATGCACTATTCTTAAAGCTCCCTCTTCACCTACCATGTTGTGGTTTTGTATGTAACCTACAAAAGCTTGAGACTCTACTAACACCATATACTGCTTTTTTAGATGTGATATTACAGGTATCAGTAAAACGACCACAAGTTTTTATACCTTAACTGTGCACATTAGCATCATGACCTGAACACAAACAGAAGTACAGTTTATTTTTTTTCTACCCCTGCTTTAAAGGCACAACAACACTTCTGGGTATGTTCTGTATTTCTTCCTTTCTTCTGAAAAGTTAACATTTTTACAACAAGAATATACAGTATTGCTACAGATAAAGTAAGAACAGGTTTTTCCACATCACATTAATAGATTTTGTTATAAAATTATTTTCATCCACAGAGAGAATCAAGTGTTACAGGAGGAATATCTTACAGCAATAGAGTATTTGATTACAGATAACTTTGTTTTTAAGTATCAAAAGGGAAAAAGTCTGTGTTCATACTTGTTTTGTTGGCCTTCTGCTTGTGACGATCCTTCCTCTGTCTATTCTTACTGCGAGATTGTGTTTCTGGATGCACTAATCCACTAATCACAAGCCCTCCTGAAACAAAAGGAAATTAAACAAAGCTTGCTAACTCACAGTAACCTTAAAAACTTACACAACCAACAAGCATTTTAACCAAGAATATACTTCCTTGATGCTGAAATTTTCAGACAGCTTTCGAAAGCCAGAACAAACCAAAAAGTTTTTCATTATTAAGTATTTTGGAGTGCAAGGCAACTTGAGAGATTTTGAAAATAATATTTATCAAATTTCAGTCACAGAGCATTTCAGAAAGCCATGATATGAAAGCAATTTTTAAAGAAAAAATATCAGTTTTAGGAACACAAAGAAATACTATTCTCAAGCAAATTAATTAAGAAAGGACAAAATATTAGGCTGCATTGGTCAGAAAAAATCCAAGAGAACAAGATATATTTGTTCACTTAGGGAATTTAACACTGAGACTGGATAAAATATTAGAGTATCTGCTCTGGAAAACAATCCTCACAACAAAGAGAAATGCTCCAATGAATGATCCAGCAGATTGTCTCTTTTTCCAGTATCATACACAATCTCTGATGTAATAAACCTATTAGTATAGAGAAACTGTTCTGCTCTTCTCTAAACAGTGAAGGCAAAGTAACTTAACATACTCTCCTGATGCTATTTTCAGCTGACAAGGGAATATCAGGAATGAAAAGGACTACATGGAAAGGTGACTAAATAGCTAGTGACCATAAATAATCTCTAAAAAAAAAAAATTACCCAAAAGTAAGCCTCTCAAAGTCCTCATGGCACAAGATCAACCCACAGATTTTTCTTTACTGCCCCATCAGAAGGAAGCAAATAGGTATTTTGGAACTAATACCTGAAGAGTTCATAGTATAGTCTATGCGCTCGCCTCTCCAATATTCCAGAGGTCTCAGCCGTATCCTTTTCGTTCGACGAACGTTAGGTGTGTTGGAAGGCATTACTAATTTGAAGGACGACATAATTCATATGAAACATGAAAGGAAAATTCAGAGATGGAAAATATTAAGTATCCTTTCCTGTTTTGCTGTATCACAAGGGGGGGTCAGCACTTCCCAGCTGATATTTATATCACATTGCTATCGTGACAGGAAAATGGGATCCAAATATTGACAAAAGCTCTCTTTTGCATACATCAGTATTTCACTCTCCTTTTTCTTAAACAATCACCACACTGACTTTATATTATACTTAGTTCTATGTATCTTAGTGAATCACTGAGACATGGACCTTAGGACCTTAGTGAATCACTGAGACATGGACCTTTCTGTCCTTGGACAGAAAACATGCTACAACTGTGAAGACAAAGCTCTCGACAAAGACTAAGGACTCAGCCTAAATCTGAGGGATTTCATTAGCAACAATGAAAAGGCACTGCCTTAGTTATGGCAAAGGGAGAGTAAGAGACTGCATACGCAGCTCCTCCTCTTCCAGATTCACAAGTCCCATTTCTGAGGTCCAGAAGAATGGCACTTCTGCCAACAGAAACTCCACGTATTTCCAAGATTTCTCAGATATTTATCTTCAGATGTACTTATTACATAGTCTCAACTTTCAAGTTGTCTAAGCTACCATATATGAATAGAGTAATATATATTTTACTATTTGTAAGGAAGAATAAAAGCCCTTTAAGAGCTAAGAGCAAATTAGTCAAGATATTTAAATGTTAAAAATGGTGAATATAAAAAACTTGATGAAATAGTTTTTGAAGGTAGACAACTAAAGTGTTGTGCATAAAATAATAATGAAGGCCATAAAAAATAACCAATATAAAACAGACAAGCACGGGACTGCAATCGACTGCACACGCATTGTTCCATCCTATCCAGACTCAGACCACCACAGAAGGCAGGTTATTTGCACCGTCAGTTATACTGCGTAAAACTAATACAAACTCTTCTGTTCTCACTGAACTGGGGGTTTGTCTTGACTCAGTTGTTTAGGAATACATTCAGTGCAGGTAGCTCAGTGTGCAGCTGCATGCCAGTCTCCTTCAGCAAACTTTACATCAAGTTGGAAATACATTTGTATTTACACATTTACATTATGATATTTTAAATAATCTTACCTATTTTATGCCTTGCTATGTTGTCTGACAACAGATCTCTTACTTTGTAATTCAAGTCATCAAAAGTCTCTGTAAACACATTCAAAAAACCACCACCATAGGCATTTACTATTCCTGACTTTTATTCAATATAACCACTAAAAGCAACCAAGGGTAATACAAGTCCCAATGATAGTGTTCCCTCGTAACACATTTTGCTATAAACATGTATGAAACCCAATGTAGATAAGCAGTATATGCAATCAGTAAGCTTGAAAATTACATGAAAACTATATATTCAAGTAAATATTCCTCAGACCTATCCCTCTTGATAAAACACACATTGGAAAATTATGACAAAGTGCAAGGTCATTCAGCTTTATATCACTCAAACCTAGCTTTAGAATAAACTTCTTACAAGAACACACACAAAATTAAGTCTCTGAAGAAAGCACTGCATGAACTAATAACATTTGCATATTCACTTTTGGCTCTAAAACACTAACAAAATGACTTTTTATCTCCAGGGCTCATGTTCATTATGACATGTACAACTCATGTTGTGAAACTTAAAATCCAAACCAAACAAATAAAACTTTTAAAAAAAACCAGACACCACAAACCAAGCCAACCAAACAAAACACCCCAAACCAAAATATTCTTGGGTGAACAGGCCATCAGGCTGTACACTTTGGTCCAGGGTGGCCTGAAGTGATTGCATTTAGTACCATCACATGGCAACACATCAAACTGGTACAAACAGAGCCTGAAAAATGTGTTCAAAATATTTTGGAGCGATAACTTTATCCCAGTAGGCTTGATGCCAAACCCTGGAGGGCTTGTTCTTCCAAAGCTAACACAACATAAAGCTGGCATAGTGACCACCTACTTGGACAGAAATGTAACCACAGCCAATAAAATCCGCATTTGTTCTGGACAAGCTGAATACAACAGAAATTACTGAACCATCAGTTACAGTTTATAAGAAGTTTATACATAAAATGCAAGAAAAATATCAACTTTAAACATTACCTGATGATGTATCATACTGTTCACAAGACTTAGTGCTGGAATCAAATTTATCACAATGTTCTAGAACAGGCCCACTGCAAAAGAATAAAAAATAAACCTGCTTAAAGATGTTAAATGTCAAAGGAACATTACAGCACTACCATATATATAAAATTTAAGTTTTTTTCAGATCATGTGGTCTGAGTTTTATTTTTCTTTTAAACATCTGTCTACAGTGATTAGACACTAAAGCAAATGACTGCTAGTTAGAAATCATAGGTCTGAAATTCATCAACTGATCCTCTACTCAGTCACCAGGCAGAAAAATTAGTGTTCACACCTCCTCTCTAAACAGGTTTCTTAAACTTATTTTTTTCTCCTTTCCAGAATAAAGATACTTTCTTCTGTAGCATTACCTTTCAAACAATTTTCCATATACCGTGATTATGGAACTGCTTTAAAGAAATGTTTTGCATACTATAAGGAACGGACAGTAAAATAGTTTGTCTTTGTAATGAGTATTCTGTCATGAAATCTCCCCCATAAAGTGACAATTTATATTTGTGACTCCACCAGAGATTCTTTAGCAACCAAATCACTTCTAACAGGACCTCTCTTGCAGCCTTAGCATCAGTACCTTTCACCTTCCTTCTTCCTCCATCTGTGGTTGTGCTTCACTGCTTTTACTGTGCCAGTGAAGTTCACCTGTTATCCACCTAAACTCCAAAAGATGCATTTAAATTATCTAAATTAGCAAACCTACACTACAAATTCGTCCAAGTAAGTCTGCAGTAGTCTCCCTTATAATTAAAAACCCCAAATTTTTCTGCAGAATGACTGCTTAAGAATTCAATAAATTCAGACTGCCACTCCTGTTTGCTTTGTCATTAAGTTCCCATCCCATGAAGGGGAAGATACATGCCTATCTACATGCAAAAAGTTTGGATCATAGATACAGCTCTATACCCCACTTAATGGCAACTTTATTAGTACAGCTGCTATTAGTTCTAGGAGCACTGGTATTTCTGTTCCAAAATCACACACTAATGTGGGAGCAAACCTCAAAGGAAAAAAATCCCCTAAGGCAAGAAACCTACTATGACCCCTTATTTATGACAGGAAGAAAAATTTTACTAGTTTGTTAACTGTATTAATGCAATATTTAAAATCCTCAAGCGTGAATTACAATTATTTTCTACTAGGTGCTTCACTAGTAGAGCACAGAATGGGGTAGTACTACCAAACTCTTCTGTCTCAGTGGGGCAGAAGTGAGATTAAATTCAAGGTTTTCAGACAACTCAAGAAATTACCTTTCATAGTTCACAGCCTTCTCAGCCACAAAGGAATATCTAGAAGAGAAAAAATTATTCTTAGTACATTTTAGTGTTGAGTCAATTTTACTTAATGAAAGGAACCTGTAGGTCAATAATTTTATATCCTGAACAAAACCGTAAAAAAGACATTAAAAAAAGTTAAAAAACAATGCAAAGAACAACTATTAAAAACTGGTTTTAGACTCCTTAAATTTCTGTCTTTAGATTGCCTATGACTAGAAAGTTACATCCACAAAAATATATACAATAGCTGAAGAATTAAATGCTGTATTTTCCAAATTTCATTTAAAAATACAACAAACCTGACAGTGAAGTTACTCTGTGGTGGTAGGATTGTATTAAACTGGATCTACTATACAAGTCCCATGAGAACAGTTTAACCAGCACAAACTTCCTCGTGTAAAAGACACTAGATTTGGCACCCACATTTGAGAACAGGATGTTGACTACACCACTTGGTTTCCCTATTAACTATTTGACCAATCTCAAACTATCTCGTAGTTCAATTGGGCCATCACTGCTTAAAAGTTAACAAGGTGTGTTTAATTATCTACCAAGTTATACCACGCTTGTAAGGAATCACATAAAAAGCTTACTGTGGTCCATGTTGCCTGTTACGTTTTCTTTTGTTATTTTTTATTTTTACATCTGATAACTTCTGTTTTTTCCTTGCCATGTTCTGTACAGAAGAGTTGTCAGAATCTGTTTGAGACTCAGTGTCCTCAGGGTTTGAGTAAACAGCTTTATTGGTTCTGCAAGGAATCTTTCCGGGTATCTTCCCTGAATACTTGGCTGGCAACTGCTTCTTTTCAGAATTCTTCACACTGTCCATGGGATGCTGCAGTGCTTTCTCAGGAGATTGGTTATTTGCACCACCAGGTGACTCCAGTGTGTGCAACACATTTCTAGGCTTTTCAGACACAGTCAATTTCTGAATCACAGGAGTCTCTAATTTCTGACGCAAGGGTGTGGTACACACATCTTTCAAACCTACAGGCTCTCTTTCATGCTCTTCTTCACTAGGTTCACTGTCAGAACTCTTCTCTCTTTGCAACTGAGGTTTTTTATTACTACTTTTCTGGACAGATTTTTTAAGCTCCTTCCTTGGACTTAATGCCACTTTCTTAGCTACTTTAACCTTAGGAAGTTTCTGCTTAGCAGTTTGTTTCCTCTTATCTAAATGCTGAGAAGCTTTTAAAGCTGATTGCAGATTCTTGGAAGACTTGACAGACTTTTTTGGAGACACAGTCTGTTCTTGCTGATGCCCAGATGAGGGCATAGGCAAATCTTCACTTGGCAGCACCCTTGTTTTACATTTTTCTGCATCAGATGCTTCTGTTTCCAATCCAGACCATGACAACATCAGTTCTTCAGCTTCTGGTTTCCAGGATGTGTTCTTTTTCTGGTGTGGAGAGTCTTGCCTAAGTGCATCCTTTTTAGTCTTTCCTATCAATACACAAAACATTTGGACATTAATACCTTTTTACATTAAACAGATACATGTTGACATCTGAATGCCTAAAAATAAACCAAAAAATCAAAATTGGAAAACAAACAAACAACAGATATCACAAAACCAGGTTTGTCCCTGAAGGCTAAAAGAAGGCCTTCTCTAAACTACAGTGTATAAAAACCTTTTTAGTGTACTTCCAGTATTTCCTAACAGAAAAAAAGGGAGCAGAAATGTTACATTTAGCTTGCTATCCAGTTTTCAGTGTTTCCTGCTACAAACCTTTTCACAAATAATTCCTAAAACCCAATCCCCTTCAGTTTGAAGCATGCGTCTTAACCTCCTTCCTACCTACCTTCTACCTTCCTACCTACCCTACGTACCCTACCATATGGGTACCTACCTTCTACACCAGCTCATAAGGAAAGACAACACCACTAAATTAATTTTTAACATCCTAACAGGAAGGGCAAAGAGGATGGGAAAAGTGAAGACACTCTGTCTCACTGCCTCATACACATCCAAATCTAACTGTGGAACTGAAACATCAAAAAGGAATCCATTAATGTCTCTCATCTACTTTATTATAATTTCCTAATAAACCACCACAAAATAATCCAGTAATATGACCTGGAAGGAAAAGTTTAAGGAGCTGTTAAAGAACTTACCTGTATGAATACTCTTTTGGCTTTGAGATTTAAGGACATTTCCTTCACTGTTAGAGATTGGATCCAATTTCGACGTTCTTTTCATGTCAAAGGCTCCAACATCCAGATTATTCAGTTTCTGTTTAGTAAGTGCTTCAACCTGTGCTTTCCTGTTCTTGCCTTTCTTACTCTGTGTCGTCTTCTGTTCAGAGGGCTGAGATTCAGAAACAGGAGTTGCAGAGCCATCTTTTTTTGGTTTTCTTTTCTTACTGGGTATTGAAATCCAAGAAGTAAATGATGCACCACCTGAGTCATCAATTAAAAATTCACATTCATTTTCGATTTCCATATCTTGATCTTTCACAGGAGGAGGTGATGGAGGTGATATCGAGGTTGAATATCTACAGAAAGGAGTGACAATGACAAATCAGTTTGGGCGGTGGGGTAAATTGACTTTCAATCTTTAAGATCTAGTGGTGATTCCAGAACACTTAAACACAGTACAGAACATTCTTCAGAATGCATTCATTCATTGCTCTTTAAGCTTCCAAAAAGAGCACAAGGCCTGCTTCTTCTTGCTGATGCTGGACAGTCAACTGGACAGATGCTGGACAGTCAATTTCCTATGTAAGCAGCCAGATCCAGACTAGCTCTGAAAAAAGACTGCTTGCTCACTGTGAACTTCAAAATCACATAAGGTTTTCCTGAATCCTCTAGGCTACCTATCAAAACATCTCAGGCTCTATCTGAAACACTGTTCAACAGACATTATTCAACACACCATTTTACTGGCAGACAAAACCAAGAGCACTGTTAAATTCTACACAAAATTTTGAAACAACCATTCAAACCCTTTCTCAAGTGGCATTTTTAAGTAATGTTCAACTATCACAAAACATGCTCCCAGACTTTGTTTATAGATAAAAGGATGTTGTTCCGATATTCAGACCAGAGTTATTTAAATAGCAAATTATGTTCCATATTAAGCCTCAAAACAAACCTCTGTCGAAGTGTTCCTGTTGCTACAGCTGCTAAGAGAGCTGAAGAGAAAGTCTTCTCTTTCTGCACAGATGTAGCAACAGGTTCTGTTCCTTGCACAAGAACAACCTGCTCATCTCTCCCAGTCTGAGGTCCTTCCAAATTTTCAACTTCTCCACAGCTCTTTGCTGCAGCAGGTGTATTCCAGCCATCAAGAGATAATCTATGTATGAAAAACAACATTCAGATATATTGCTATAAATCTTGTGAGTGCACAATAAAGTATTGTGAGGAAGAACAGATGCTCCTGCTGACAGTGTTTCACTTAGGAATGAGTTTCCCCTTGGTAATTTGCTGAAACACAGCCTAGCTGTAGTACTTCCCAGCACAGCAGCATGTGTCCAAAGCAATACAGAGTCTTATGGTGACTCTTGATCAAAGTAAAGGCTGCTCAGTAAGACAAATTCTTAATTTGTCCTAATGTGCTTCAGAAATTGTCAGGTTTCCTAGACTGTAGGTACACTGTCTTCCCAATCTCACTCCATCAATGGGAATCAATGGGATCAGTGTCAGTCCATCTCTATGATCTACCCTACAGGCTCAGCCCTCCAGGAAAGCAGAACTGTGGTAAGGACCACTGGCCAGTATTGCAGTTGGGGTTCAAATTTTCCAGTGGGGAGATAGAAATCACAGCTTAAGTTTTTCTATTTCATATAAAAAACTTGTCTATTCAGAGTGAGAGGAATGATGACTGCTCATTTCTACTTTAACAAATTCTTGTTAACTTCTAAGGTCAATACTGTCAATAGGATTCACTGAAAAAGTCTGGACTACTTAAGAAGCTGATACTTTGGTGAACTTTTCTGCAAAGAGTTCAAGTCTATTCTGACAGGCTTCCTACACTTGGGTGCTGCACTTATCACCAGAATATTTAATAAAAAATAATTCTGTCCTTCCTAAAAACAGATATGGAAATTTTCTAAAAAGCTTGGAATTATTTTTTATGAGTTCCCAATCTAAATTTATAAACGATGGAAATGACTGTGTTGATTTACCCTAAGGTGGAGGGCACACAGGGGATGTAACACCACAGCCACGTTCAGCTCTACTTACTTAAGTACAGGAGAACTTTTCCCTTTCTCCACAGGAAAAGGTGATCCAATAGACCCGTGATCATCCTCAGGGTCCAAAAACGTGGCAGGACTTCGGCACAGCTCTTCAACATCTTCTAATGTATTTTTTTTGCTTTCAGACACAGGAGACTCTGTTTTTTTAGAAACATCTACGTAATCATGTATTGCAGGCTTCAAGGGTGATTCACATAACTGTCCTGCCATATATATAGAACAGGTTTAATTCCTTTACTCAAAACCTTACAAAAAAAACCCCGAAAACCCCTTAATTCAATAATAGTGGGACCAACCTCTGCTGCTGACTGGTTTTAGCAGTGATGTAGGTGAGGATTCTGGAGAATAACAGGTTCTTTTCACAGAGTTGGTTGATCCTGCCTTTGGCTGTCACAGTTGGTAACGAATAATGAGACAAAGTAAAATAGTTGATAAAGCAACAGTATTTTGACAGGAATACAAATTTCTACAGAACGTGATATACTTTCCTTCCCTTAAATCACACTCATGTGAATCACAGTTCTATTTTAACTAAACACTTCAACTTTCTATCAAGTAAGACTTTCTAGAAGTAACTATAAATTTCAAATAACAGGAAAAACAGTGTGTACAGCAAAAATCTATATGCAGCTTTAAACAGGCATCCTGCTAGTCTCCAGGCAAGCTATTCTTTTCATTAGAATGAATTATTTTAAACAATTTAATTCACCTTTCTTAAGACAGGCTGAGGTTTTGCAAGAAATTAATTGACATTATATGGTATTCTAACATCAAACTAAAGCAAACAAACACCATTATAAAGGATGCCTGTTCTCAACCCTGCCATTAATGGAATATCCTACTTAAAAAAAATAGAATCAAAACATTAAAATTAAATATACAAACTAGATTATTGGCATCATTTTCCCAGCACACTAACAAGGCCTTCAACTTGTTTCCACTCTTCAAGAAAGATACATATATATAAAGTTATTGTACAGATAACTATCAGGAGTTAACGAGCTTTTGTACAAGCATCACCTTTCAACTCTACTGTTCACCATTTAGCTAAGAACTGTGTCCATATATCTAGCAAAGTGGCCAAAACCAACTCCAATGGAGTCCAAGACAGCCATACCCACCAGCAGTAATAGGGCAGTGTGCTCCAACCTGAGACCATAAAAAATTTAAGTGTCCTGGACAAAAAGCTGAAAAAGCTTTCACTAGAAAAAAACCTGGAAAATAAGTTATTAAACAAATCTAATTACAGAATATTTACTGTTACAGCACAACAAACTAAGAAAAAAAACATTATCAACAACTATTACAGATGGTTAAATTGTAGCCTATATACTGTTACAAGTGGCATATGGAGCTTCTTCAATGCTCATACAGAACTAAATCCTACAGAACTAAATTTGTACCCCAGTGAAACTGTACCCAAAGCTATACTGTGACATTGCCATAACTAACTTACGCTTTGGCTCTGCATTGAAGTCCTCTTCCTATTTTTGACAACAGGAGCTGAGCAAAGGGTTGCATTTGGAGAGTTTATTGTAAGATCACTGCTGCAACCTATGAAGAAAACACTGTAAGTATGGGGATCTTGGAATTGTCCAGGTCTCATTTATTTTAACAAGTTGCTACAGCTATTAAGGTCACATAAATCCAAACAAGAAAGGAATCAGCTACTCAGGAAAGATTACCTTTATAAGACAGCTAAGACACAGTTTTAAGCAGCTAGGAAGGGGGAACTTTTCAAGACCCTGAGAAAAACTTTATTTTTATCCATTTTATCTCCAATTTTTATTTCTATTTACTTACCACTAAATATAATATAAAGAAGAAATTATTTCTTCTTTTACCAGCAAATTGAGTAAAACACCAAATAAGAGCTTACTTTCAAAACAATCCTGTATGAGTTTCAGTACGTTTTGACCTGGCTGTACATCAATCTTACTTCTAGAAAGAAGAGGAAAAAAAAATATTTTAAATCAAAAATATCAAATGTTCTTATGCCAGCAATATTAAAGCAGCAAAGTTCTTACTTCTCAATATTTTAAATTATTATTTCCTCTAGTCTCAGCTTCAATATACTTTTACCTATCATTTCCACACATAGATATCTGCAAAGAAACTTGTCAAAATAAGAATTCCAGGGAAAAAAGCCTCACTGCCACAGATTATGATGAGAATGAAGAATTCTCTCTACATCAAAGAAAACACACAACTACTTCCCTGAGGTAAAAGAGCTTTGGGATGAAGAAAGTCTCTCTTGAAATAAATATTTTTTGGGCAGAAGTGAGTGATTCACTAGTCAGACAATGTTGATCAAAACCAAAATAACACTAGAAAAGACATGGAGTATTACTCCCATAATGATCATTATACACAGCTGATTTGGTAGATTTGGTAAGCTCGTGAAATGCAAGTCTAAAAATGGATTCCAGCAACAAGAACTTCACAGGTTTCTGACATGCCTTTAAAGAATGCTACAGCACTACAAATACTCCAACTCATCTCTAGCATTTACCAGCAAGGTCCAAATACGCTGGAACTCTGTGTGGGCTTCGTTTCTCTACTTCTTGAAAGGCAAAATGCCTGCACAGACCACTCCTTCTGTACTCAGGCAGCCTAGTTAGGAGCACCTTAGGTATAGCAACACCATAGTTTGCTGCCTCAGCAAAGGAAACAAAGGAAAACCTTGGGGCTTTGTCCCCCAGCGCTGTTTGCTCCTCCCACCACTAAGAAATACAAGAAATTTGGGAAACATCGTATGATCGGATTAATAGGATACACCGTATAGCTTTGACATTATGCCCTCGGATAAAAATCCACATAAGTTTTCCAGAATCTAAGAATAAAACTTTAAATGCAAATTACCCTCCTCCATGGCAGAATCTCGCTCTGTAGTCTTTTTTTAAATGATTCTGTGAAGAAATAAGAATAAGTTCTTACTAGGCATAATGACACTTGACAGGAAAACAAGTAAGCAAATATCAAGCATTCTCCAGCCATCATAAACTAGTGGGAGAGTGGGAGTTACTGCAGCCCTGTTTTCCTTAGAATTCCACAGCAGCTACAACCCCTGTAACAACTGCCAGAAATTCAGCTTTCCACAAGAACCATCAAAGCATCTGTTGCATTTGAAGTCAGAGAGTCTCACAGGAGACTTACGTGACAGAAATCACAGAGAATGTAAGGATTTGGTTACCATTTACTCAAGTGTAATGACTAATCTTTAAAGTAAGGAAGAGGAATGACCTACCACAAAGCAAACATAACCAAACATCTACCACATAACCAAACATCCGCTGCTGTGTGTTAACTGCTCACGTGAGGGTTCTTACCTGTTTGCCACAGGCACAACCACACTGACAGGCAGTGAGATCACATCGCTGTGCCATGGTAAAACTATAGCCTCAGTTAAGTCCCAGTGCCACCTCACACACTTGAAACCCAAATAAAGTCATTCAAATAAAAAACATGACTCCAGTCATCTACTACCACAACTGGAGCAGTAATACTTCAAACGGCAACATATTATCAGTGTTACCTTCTACACCAACAAATGAAATAAAGCCGCTGACCTGGAAACAGGCAAAGAATATCAAGGATACAAATGGGAAGAAAGGTCTAGAAAAATTCAAGCGCTAAGCAGAGTGCAGATTTTCACAGATGTGATAGGAAAACATGTAAAAAAAGGTAAACGTTTAGTTGAAAAACAACTATCACCTCTTATTCATTTGTGTAAATTTAAAAAGTATGTGCAGCTTGGAGATTATCTAGTCCTAAAACAACGGAGTTCAGCTCGTTTTTCTGAAGTTTGCTATACTGACAGTACTTTGCACTTTATGATTCCTCTTTGGCTGTTACTTCTGGTAACAAAAATAACCAACACCACATATGGATTGATTGCACTGGAAACTTTCAATATCAGCCTTAAGCGGCAGAAGGAAACTCTAGGTCACACGGGAAAACAACTGACCAAAAGCCACCCCTTCAGAAACTGCACACTCCAGTCAGTCTCGCACTCGGCCTTAAACCTCTTCCCCTTGCAGCAGAGTGTAGCACAATCCACCGGCACGCAGCCTTTCGCAATAAAGAGACTGAAAACCTCCTGCAACGGACCTTTGAACAGTTCATTTATGAGTGTGTTTGCACTGTCCTACACATGAAGAGTTTTAAAACTCAAGATGAGCACGATTGTGGCGTGCCTGGACAAGTGTCCGGCTCTGTACGCGCTCACTCGCCCATGGAAGGCGGCTCTCCAGAGGCAGCCTGAGGGAAACGGGGCTCCCGACAGACTAGCCCTCGGGGCACAAGTGTCTGTGCAAGGGGCCCGGACCCGCAGGGCGCGGTGCGCCAACCCCGGCCTCCCGCTCCTCAGGGAGAAGCGGAAGACCCCAGGGTGGGGCGGAAGAACGACCCCGCCCCTCCCCCGGGAACGCGCCGGGGGCCGCACCTCTGGCTCTCCGGAAGGGACCGGCTGCTGCCCACAACACAGCGCACAGACAGACCGACGGGCAGGCGGACAGACCGACAGACAGACACACCCCCGCCATCCCCGCACTCTCTCACCAAGGCCTCCGCCATCCCGGGCCGGGGTCGCCGCGCGCCACCGCCCGCGCCGCTTTTCGAAACCTGGGCGCCTTATCCGCCCGCGCGCGCCGCCCACGGCCGCGGGGACAGCGGCGCCCCCGGCCACGCCCCCCGGCCCTCACTGCCTCATTGGTCGCGGCCGCCGCGCGCCAGCCAGGGACGCTGCTTTTTGGCGCGCGCGTTGCGGCGCCTGCGCAGGAGCTGTCTCGGCCCTGGGCTACTCTCTTGCCTTCCCTGCCTTAAGGGGACCTGCACGGCGACGGGTCCCGTTTCTTTGTCCTCTCCTGGGAAACGCCAGTACAGATTCTCGAGTTTCCAAATGGCCACTGTCACTACGGGGAGCTGCAGTTTTTTCTTTTAAACGCTAGTGAAGAACTTAACACTGAGCAAAAAACAATCATGTTATCATGCTTGATAACATGAGGGCGCAGTGCCTTACAGTGCCCGCGAAACGCTGCCCAAAAATATAGTTTTAAGTGAGGGTTTTTACTGCACACTTGTGACTAGTACACCATCCCTGTTCTTTCTGACCACTATGGGGAAGGCCCACTGTTTTTATGAAAGTACAACATAACATGAGAAGTCTGTGCTTTCTTTTCGTGAAAATACTTAAGGTCACTTTGTGATCCCGGTGCTGCTCCATGTAGATCAGGTTAGAGTTGCAGCTTTTCCTCACTCTGAAACTGAAACTTGTGTGTTGCTGGGAGAAGCAAGAACTTAAATACTTTGCTGGATCTCACTTTTGCCATGCAAAATTATCGACTTACTAGCAAGACAGCTTTGCTGGTATTAATGCTGTAACTCACAACACTTTTAAGCTTGAGTCTCAATAAGCTTTCTGCACCATGGATAAGCACCCACATTAGCTACTTCAAAAACCACACAAAAGATACATTTAAATTAAAATAATTGCTCAAAAGCTCTCTGGTCAAAATTTATCAACCTTTGGAGAAAGGTTTAGATTGATGCGCTGTGCTGCACATATGCTTTCTGTAATTGCACGACAGGAGATAATTAACTGGGATTGATAAACCTTTCAAGCTAATGTCAGCTTCCTTTCTTCAAACAACTGGCCTACAGCCACATTGTTTCAAAGATGCAAGGAAAAATTAACAACTTTTACTCGTGTTTGATAACTCAGATATACAAACTCTTTGCTTACCTCAAACCCACATTATTTCAGGACGTTAGATGCCATGATGAGGGTGACAGGGTTTCTGCATTCGCAAAGATCCAAATGGTGCCAGAGTTGTTCTTTCTATGTAGTCACTATTCTTGAACAGCTTTTTGGTTTGTTTTGTTGTGTTTTTTAGTAAACATTCACATATTTATCCTACATAGGAAAAGGGTGGGAAAATAAGATGGAAACATCTACTTTTTACTCATGATATAGGTAAATCCATCAGATGCACCAAAGCAGTCTTGGTAACAGTAGCAAGATCTTCACAAAAAATCCTCACTACTCCTAACATTAAAGAAACACCTTGACTAACCACAGAGAACAGCTGAGAGGGCTGCTAAGTTTGTTTGCATTGCTTTGCATGCACAAACATTCCTGCATCTATATTAAGGATGCTAGAAATTCAGGGAAAGCTAGTGTAAATATGAGCAAACTCTTCAAGAAAGCATTTGAGCAAGAAAGATCTTCAATGCTGATATAAAACTTCACCCCTGAAAATCAACTGTTCCTTCAAAGAATAATATTATGAAAGAAAGCTATTCAAAGTGTTCTAGTGGAAAGACAGTTCTTCAATGTTGCAGGAATAGAGCATCAAATGGTCCTAGACAAACACAGTCTTTCATTACAATGAAAAAAACCCAAAACAAAACAACAAAAAACCTCACAAACAAACAAACACAAAAAAAAGCAAAACAAAAACACACCAAAGAGAAAAAGCAGTTCTCAGATTCCAGGTAGTGCTACAAGCCTCTAGCTTGGTAGCACTGGTAGTGACAATGCTGAAGAACTGGAAGACCAGCACCCCAAAATTCACTTTCCCAGTTTGATTGAACCCTTTGTGTCATCATGCTGAGCATCTGTTGAGACTTTTGATAAAAAGCAGGAACAGATTGAGAAACAGGCTGTATCAAATACAAATTCACACAGAATCAGCCCACTCCACTGCAAAACCTCCAATATAAATACATTCATCCTCTGTATCAGCAGTTCAAAAAGGTTTAAAACATAAAAAGTTTAAATGAGCCACTTGACATGCACAGTTTTCCTATATAAAGTCCTCTTGAAGTTATTAGTTCTAAGATTTCACGTGGGTAACTTATATCCAAAAATTTTAAAGGTCTGCTAATACCTATCTAGAGCCATTGTGCATTGTCAATTTTTCCATAAGCAGCTTTTTAACTGAGGAGAACCCATTCATAGAACAGACACTCATCCAACAGATACACACAATAAGAGCAGCACAGAGATACAGCCATGTCTGTAAATTTGGGCTGTGATCCCAGCCAGCCTTGACCTGCCCTTTTTGACAAGGGTCTCAAAGTTGTATGCATTGTCATTAATAAAAGCCACTCTATTAATTATATCTGAAAGTTTACTTTAAACCGTGAAGACAGTCATATGGCATTCTAAAAATGTACTGAGACTTTACTATTTTTATGTGCTGCTTATTTCAAAAGCATAAGCATGATGTTGACACCACACTAACATACCAGAGTATACTTACTCAAAGTTTCATTTGTTTCTCAGTCTCCAAGCGTGAGAGGTGACAGTGTTTTCAACTTGATCTAAACCTTTAAGTGATCCTTAGCACTAAATAGTGACTTCAGGCAAGAGTTCAGATTGTAATACTGCCACAGTGAAACATATTTTAGTTGTTATTTAGAAGTGGAAACTTATTGTCTGCTTGTGCTTCCTCTGCACTCTAAATCTAGCCATCTTTTCTCCTGTCTCAAAAAGTTTCTCTAAAAGAAGTTCATAAAAAAATGAAGTTAGGCAGTTTAAAAAGCAGTATTATTAATCTAGAAAATTATATCCATAAAGTAGACTGACTGTAAAATTATATACACCATCCAGAAGACATCACACACGCAAGACTGAATCCAAAATATTGAAACAATTATACTGATTCCAGGTATTCAGTTCCATACATCTTGATGTACAAGTTCCAGTTTATAGGTTTGTATTCTAACCTTGCCTCACTCTACCATGGTGGTGAGAAATAAAGAACTACCAGCTCAATATCTGGTGTTTAAATGACAGTTAAATGATGACATTTCTGTACCACACCTCTGCCTCACCGCAACAAATCTAGTCCCTAATGATTTCCAAATAAACAGGATCTTTACACTTCAACATCCCAGAAACTGACTGATGATGATAAAAACCTGTGGTCAGTGCAAGTCAGACTTGGGCTATGGACATGTGTACAGCAGAACCACTCACTATAAGGAAATGGTTACCAAAAGGAGTTTGGTATGACAAACATCCAGAGACATTTGCCTTTTCCTCCCTTTAAAGTCACCATGTGCTATAGTGATTTTAATTTGGTGAGGGTAGAAAGGCTCAATCACATTTTCTCTTTCTTGAAGACAAAGTTTTATTGTTGAATGTGCTAATTCAGCTCTCCGATAGGTTTTCACTTTCCCCATACTGCAGTATTCTGCAAAGAACAGTCTCAGTGCAGATAATCAACAATTCCAGCTCTCTGGACTTTAGCGGAGTTTTGACAATTTACACCTGTTTCCTGGGTTTCCATGTTGAGACTGACATAAGATAGCTGCTCTGGCCACAGCACCACTAACCAACGACACAACAAAGCAGTTTGTCTGCTCTTAAGTGGGAGGCTAAGCCTTTTGAATGGATTAAATCTCACATGTAGATGGCAAGAATGAAATTCTTGTTTAAGAATTAAGTAACATATGAAATGGATTTAAGATGTTCTTAGAACACCAGGAGCATAAAATGGTGGTTTCCCCATTTTTTGCACTCTTCTCTAAGCAGTGCCTAATTTGCACATGGGGACCATTTGTTAGGTTCACCATTCTTCTTGCTTTCTTCAGCTGCCTGCAAATCAATATAAATCTTGTCTTTAAGGTAAGGACTGTACTGGACATTCCATCTCACGGAGTGACCAATCCTCCTTTGAGCGAACAGGTTTGAAGAAAACAGGAGCAGAAGAGACATAAATCCAGTTTGTCTTCAGTGCAAAGCCACTGATTTTCACCATTTAATTAAGGCTTCACCAAAAAGAAATACATAGTACCATCTTTAATAGCTGAAAATTAGCACACTCCTTTGAAAACAAATGGTCCATGAGTGACTTCTGTGCCTCTACCATCAATTGTCTTCCTGAACAAAGTAGTATCTCACAGGGGGCCCTGGCAAATCTTCTTCTCCATCAGTCTCTGGAGCAAATGATACTGTCAAATCCACATACTTCTTATCAGGTGATGGTTTCACAAGTTTTTGCATCCTATAGAGAAATAAAGCAGAGTTTGTTAATATACCAGAAAGAGGATTGGCAGTGGGAATTCAGGATCAGACTAGGATGAATTTCACTGCCAGCAATATATACTGGTCTAACATACTACAGGTCAAATTAAAATGAAGAATTAAGCAATTAAGCCACCTTTAAATTTTGACACAAAAGCTGTTTCTCCACCCAAGATCCAGCAAATCGTGTTCCATTAGCCATTAGAGAGCTACCGCATCGTTCACCAACAAGTGATCAGTACAAAAGAGAAGAGCATATGGCCAGTTTTGGATGGGATTCCTCACAGATGTAATTTTTCTTTGGCATCCCAGAGAGGCACAAGGCAAAGTTAGATTTCTGTGTAGGATTTCAGTCAATGAGGAGGAATAAGTTCTCTGTCTACCAATAAAGGCCCGTTTTAGTATATTAGGAAGAACCACTCCAGTGCAGACACCAGGTAATAAGTTCTGATGGAAAGTAATTCTACTGGGGTTATGGCACTAAGTCCTCGAATTTCAAAGGTGAATAGCGATGAGGGGGGAAAAAACAGTCAAGATCTGGGACTTCTTCCCTCATGACCACAAAGTGAGTTTGAACTACGTAAGGATGTCACGTATTAGCGCAATTTCCCTCCTTTGCTCTCTGCAGTCTCAAAAGCTACAGCCAATGCTTGGAAGTTGCACACTGGAATACGGAAGCAGGTCAGCCAACCTCACTTTCATCACATATCTGTAGATGGCTCAAGATTATTTTCTTGCTAACCTGGTTCATGAGGCCAGCTCAAATGCTAAGAGGCTGAGGGAATACAGTCAATCATTTCTATTCCTCACAGATCACTTAGAGAAGGATTTCCCTTCTGGGTATACTTTAGTATGCAGGCCAAAAAGCTGCTTTCCCCAAAGCACTTGTTTCCTTGCAAGAACACAGAGCATTAGCCTCTTCTCAGCAGAGATACTGAGATAATATTTATTTGCATGAGGAAGTCCCAAGCTACAGAGCAAGGCAGATAACTATGTTTCTAAAACTTGCTTTTAAGGAGTATGCCACTAGTTAAGGCTGCAATTCTGAAACGAAGAAAGAGTCTGGTAATGCTTGTCATATTACAGCATGATTTTAAGCAACTTAAGGAAAAACAAACACACAAGACAGACCAGAGTTTGCTGTGCAAATATCTTTTGGGACTGTTTGTAACAGAACCCCAAGTTGCTGCTACTATATGGAAAGCTTGAACCAAGTCTCAGAGTAGTAAGAAATCCTGATATTCACAAGAGGGCAGCTTCACACCATACCTTTGACTTCATTCATTACATACCTTACTCATTCAAAATTATTTATACAGCTGTAAGAGAAGGCATATAAACAACTTCTTTTTAACAGGCTGTAAATTCTCATCTTAGTATGCCAGGCACTCTGAAGGTAGTACCAGCTTAAAGGCTCTTCTCTCCCAGGAAGTTTGAAGTAGCTTGCTCATACTACTTTGCCTGATATTACCAACTGGCAGACCTTCAAAACAGATGCTGATAAATGCATCAGCATTAGCTTTAAGCTAGTTTCAAAAGGTTCTAAATTGTTCCACTTGAACCACAGTACATTCTCCCCCCCCCAAAAAAAAACAAACAACTTATTGTCAGACTTCTTCAGCTTTCTCACTCTGGTATTCATCAGTTAGAGCAGCATTTTGGAAGTCTCCTGCCCTCATCATAGAAGTTAATTCACTTTCTCTTTTTTATTTTCTTTTTGCTTTCCAAATGAAAGAAATTATCTTTTTTCTTTCCAAAATATTAACGACTAGCTACCACTTTGAGGGAAAACACTGCTGTCAGACACACATCCTTATGGTACAATCAGTGAGTGTAATTTGTATATGCATTTGCACCACTCAACCCATTTTCCAGTTATACTCACGTGAACTTTAATCTTTTAATGTGGCCTGGCATCACAGGAACATAGAGCATTTTGACTCCCTGTACAACCATAGTTGGTTCAATTGCATATTTCTCCTGGAATTCACAAATTAAAGCTTATTAAAGGACTAGAACAGCTGCCCAAACCAGCAGATACTACTGCTGCTAATACTACAGCTAACTATTCAAATCCATAGAATCCCAACCAGAAAACTTGCTAATGCGTGGACTCTGACAGAAGTTTTATTAAGATACATTTGAGTCAAATGAATTAACAAAGAATTTGAAAATAGGCTTAGATGTGTTTACTTAGATACATTCCCATTGACATTAATTATTACTAAAACTATTCTGGTTTGAACAATAACTTCATGAAAGAAAAAAACAAAAACCAAACCAATAACCCAAAACAAGAAATCCCTTTTCTCTTGTCTTGTACTAACCCAGTACAGTAGATAACTTACTCTGACAGCATTTATGAAGTCCAACAGAGTAAAATCCTCTTTCCCATGAATTGTCCACCTGTCCCAGATGGTAAATGAAATCCCATTTCTGTTTTAAAAAATGAAAGGTTGTTTGTTACTTTAGAATGTGAACTCAGCCATTTCCTTTAAATATGTCTTGAAGAACCACCGGGTCTTTTAGGAGGTGTTGTTTTATCTTGATCAAAAATCTCCTCCCTCTCTGCTGCAGTTTCTCCAGCCTTCTTACCTTGCTAAGCACAAGACACAGTAAGAGCCCCAAGTAAACATGGTATCTGGCAATGAAGTTAATGAGCTTTCAGGCCTACTGAAAAATAGCTCTTGTATTGAACGAGATGCAAAAGTGTGTCCAGGATGTTTCCTAAGAACAATGTCACATGTCTAACTTGTCTAGATTTTTAAAGCCTCACGAGTAACAGCTTCCACTGAAAACAAAACTAAGCCCTTAAACCCAATATATTTTAAATTAAGATGGATGAGTATGTGCTCTATTTTCCAAAGTTCTTGAGCAATGGAGTACAAAGAGGATCACTTACACTTTTAGCAGTATATAGTAAATGGATAACAGAGTGTGATAGCAAGCATGCAGTGATTCATCGTTTTACAAGTTTAAATAACAACAACAAAAAAAAACTTTTAACATCTATGATGTTTAATTGAGTATGGCCATGAACTGTGGTTCCATCATAGCTTTGCTACGTGAGCACGTAAGGCCTTAATCTGGTTATCTGGATTTAATAACTATTCAAACTTCACATTTGTTTTAATGACTCAGCAAGTTTCAGCATCAATTAGCAGGTTTCAAAATACCACCCTCGCCCTTCTGCCATTGTCCTTCCTACCTGATTTCCGTTCTTCTTACTTCAGCAGTTTCTGTAAAGACCATTATGGGAATGGCTAGGTTCAGAAAACAGTTCTTGTATGCATCAGCTGGGTAGCCACCCACAACTTTGATGAGTTCCAGTGCAACCTGCAGTAAATGAGAATTTACTTATTAGGTTTTAGGTACTGTGTAATCAGTACTAGTGTAGTTATAAGGCCAGCAACTACAGAGAAAGTTGTTAATGAGATTGGCCTTTGTACAGTCGGCAGAATAAATAACATCTGGAAATACAACCCACTATGCCACAGAAATAAATTCTGTTGTTGCCAAGAGAAATACTTAAAACAGTGTTCCTAATGTAGGACTCTTTCAAAAACTGTTTCATTCAAGAAACCTCCACAAAGCATGAAGTTCTGTTCAGATGCACAAATGTGAACTACTACAGAACAGATCCTCTCCACTCTTGGCAATGGCACTCTGATGGAAGTTCTTATTAATGGTAGAAAACAAACCAAAATGCTGATTTCCAATTCTTTGTGTCCAGCAAATCAAATAGAAAAGCATCAAAGGCTTAGCATGTTAAGGAAACTTCCCTGTCTGACCATCCAGGAGCCACTCTGGTAATCATGTTAACAGAGACTTTAAATGCTGGGGCCGAAACCCCTTCACAGCAGGTAGCTCCATTACCTGCGGGTGCCCTGCTTCACTCGCTACCTGTCCCACTGTCACAGTCTTCATTGGCTCAACCCTGGGTTTTCCACAGCAGAGTCTCAGACCTCTGGTTCCTTTAAGTAATTTTATCATAGTACAACAACAGAGTAACAGCACGAGCTGGTGCCTCTGGAGAGGGACCCCAAACAAAGGACTACCTGGGCTTTTGTACCCTCACAGTCTGTGTGCTCAACAGTCTGGGGTCTTCCAAATGAGTCCTCAAAGCTCCTGCTGTGTCTCTGAGTGTTCTTTCACCTGGTTGGAGCCACAGGTCCCCATGCCCCTTGTTGTGCCAAGTTCACAATCTCTTGCCTAGGGCTCTCACCATCCTGAGCTCAAGCTTCAGCTGGCACTGCAGCTGCACACCTGCACCGAATGTGTTGACAATAACCACATCTAGAACCAAACACCTTTTGTATTGGTACATAAGAAGTAAATCCATTTCTTTAAATGAGGCTCTGTCAGGGTAGCACTAACTGATACCCACACAACAGTGGTTTCAGGCAAGAAAGAGTAAGAGAAATAAATATGCATTTAAAAAGCATACTCACCAGCCCTGATACTGCAGCAGTAGCTGTTGCAATGGCAGGAATAATCTTTCCTGCAATGCGCTTTGTTTTGAACCGATCTGCTGCTTCAATGTTGTACATCTTGGCTCGCAAGTTTGATGCGGCTGTTATGAAATCTACATGCCCATTACTATCATCATCTTTTTCAAAGGATATGGGCTTCATTTGCAAGTCAGCTGCTCATGAAAAAGAGAAAAAATTATTATTAGAAAACTGAAAATGTCCTAAACATAGCTTATAGGAACCGGAATCTTAACAAGCCAAAAATCTCACATCCTGGAGCTTGGTTCCTTACTTGTTTTCCTATACTAGAAGTAGAAATGCCCCTATTAATACCACTTGTTAAAAGAGTGTAATGATAGAAATACCAACAGAGCTCCCTAATTTTATTTTCCTTGCAACATCAGGAATAAATTTTGAACAGTCCTATGGATGTTTCTTATACGCCCCACCTCAAAATAGCTCCATCCTGTGAGAATTCCCTCTATAAGCTCTGTTTATCTGCAACCCTTTCACTATGGACTCAGTAGCATGGGAGTCCAGAGTTTTGGGTTGACACTCCAAGGGATGTGTTAGAGACAAGCTAATCTTTCTCCTCTGTGTTCATGGTCTAAAAAAGCTGGCATGTAGTTTTTGCCCAATGACCTCTTCATGTAGCCAGGCAAAAAAGCGGGATCTGAGCACTCTCATTTTAACATATCTAGAAGATGCTGAGGAAGACTACAACAGACTTCACAATTAAGGATAATTTCAGACTGATTCCTCTAAGTAGTAACTCTCAGCCTTCTCATACCAGAATTGCTTTCAGTCCATCTGGGATCTAGCCAGCACCCTTTCCCTCCTTCAGAGTTCAATTCGCTGCTGCTGCCTGCTTGCTGTCATTAGTGTTGTAATTACATACAAGCATAACAGAGAGCCCCAAGATTTGCAGGCATCTCAGAAACACAGAAGCATAAAGTAATGTCAAGCAACAGGACAGATATCTGCATAGCACTTCAGAACACTTTAGACACCAGCTCTGCTTCTTGCAGAATTAAAGACCTGAATGCCGCTACCTGCAGTGCAAATTCAAGACATTACTGAGCTATGAGGTTTCAGAAGTTTGCACTACTCACCTTCCAGAGCTTCATTGGATAGTATAGACTTCTCCAGCAGGAAAATAGCATTTCTTTCATCCTCACTGCTGACTGGAATATGATCTGGTTTTCTTGCGGTTTCATCAGTCTGTACAACCTGCAAGTGTGTGCAGTGCTTGAGTAATAAAATACATGAACTTCAGACAGCATGAGTGTTAAGTGTACTAAATTTTCTGTCTTCCCTGCAGTCTTTCCTCTCCACTTCAAGAGAGATGTAGATTTACTGGAGCAAGTCCAGCCAAGGGCCACAAAGATCATTAAAGGACCAGAGCATCTCTCACATGAAGCTGTGAGAGCTGGGATGGTTCAGCATGGAAAAGAGAAGGGTCAGTGGGATCTTATCAATGTGTATAAATATCTGATGAGGGGAAAGTACAGAGAGCACAGATAAACTCTTCACTGGTGCCCAATTACAGCACAAGGGGGTATGGGCACAAATTGAAGCAAACAAAATGCCTTAAGAAAAATATAAAAATACTATAAAGAAAAACAAACAAACAAACAAAAAAAACACCCCAAGTAAAACTGTGAGGGTGGCTGAACACTCTGAACACTGGCAGAGGCAGCAGAGAGAGGGTGTGGAGTCTATTCTCAGAGATATTCAAAACCCAACAGGATACAGTCCTTGATGACCTGCTCTAGCTGCTCCTGCTTGATGCAAGGGGATTGAACCAGACAGTCTCCACAGATCCCTTCCAACTTCAATCATCTGTGATTCCAAGTCACAATACCAGTTTGGCCTCATAAGGCAAGCATTCATAAGATAAGTATTAACACTGTGCAAGAAAATATGAAAACACCCTAGAATACTTGATAATTTTAAATAGTGACAAATGTTAGCCACTGCACAATAATGCTTAAGTTACTCTGAAATTAACACTCCAAAAATAAACATAAAAGTAATGACACTTCCTTTACATTAGCTAGAAAGAAATGACAAATTGACACTAGTCTTGGATTGTTTTAAAGTTGCTTATGAGTAAAATTTTACTACTTTTATTAAAATAGTATAGACTCATGTAAACTTAAAAAAACCTTGCAAAGTTACAATCACACTCATGCATGGAAAACAATGGTATAACAAATCATTTGAAAAAGGCAACCCCCCTCCATCATTTTCCATTTAGCATCTGGTACATAGATACCATAGCTATACCAAGTTAAAGCAGTCCTGTATGCCACAGTCGTACTTCCCCAAAACCCAATATAATTTGTGTTTATTTCTCATTAGCATTGATGCAAGAAGTAGCTGAAGATGAGGGACATTGTTTGTAGAACATTTTATTTTTTTCTTTAAACTAAATGTCACACTTACTTTGTTTGAAGGTCTAAACTCTGGTACTTTCACAGCTGAAATAATACTCAAAATAGTTTCCTCTGACAAATCCTGTTAGGTTTTGAAGAAAAACAATTTAAATTCACATCAACACAACAAGACTCTATATCCAGTAGCATTTCAAAGAACACCAAACCCAAAAAATCTCACAAATATTCAGTGATGTTTCAGTCAAACATCACCATTAAAACACCAAGTGACATTTCAGTTACTACAGCCAGCCAACTGGTGGGAAGTGCCTAGCACTTGAAAACTCAGTAGAAGTGTAAACGTGACTTACAGGAAGTTCCAATTAGAAAAGAAAAAGGGTAACAAGAAAAACAAAGTATAAGCAACATTAGAGGCTGTGAGTAGTAGAAAATAAAAACCCCAGAGCACAGCTAAGACACTTAATTGAAAAAATGCCTTCTAGAGATCTTTTTTCAGTTCAGTAGCTATATTACACAGGAAATAGGTGCATCAGAATAATAATTCCCAAGTTCAGTGCTTACTGAAAATATCAAATACACCATGCATTTCTTCTCCAGATTAGGGATTTGAATACAGACGAAGAAGTGTAAGCAGTTGCTGAACAGCCAGTGCTGAAGGATAGATTACTTTAAGAATCACTTTAATCAGTTTTTGGAAAGAACTGGCAACCAGACACCAGGTCAAAGCCGAATACATACAACCAAGTTATGCACTGGGAACACTGTTACAGTACATGGATTACCTTTTCAGTGAAAGGAACACAGTACACTGTTGCGAAGAGTTTTGCTGCACTCACAATGAAACCATAGTGCCTAAAGAAAAGAGAAAGATTTTGGGTTGGTTTTTTTTTTTAACTTCAGTTGCTCAGAAGTTTGCAATCATATTCAAAGAAATCTTGAACACATGGAGAAACGGAATTCCCATCTTTCAGAGCAGACAGTACAAAACAGATGTCATGTTTTGACTGACTCAGGTGTCCCCAAAACTAAGCAAACTTTGATCAGTAAAGAGTTATTTAATGAAAACCATATTTAACCTTTGTGGTCAAGAAAACAACTGCTCACATGACATTGATATGATAATAAAAGACTTCACCTCAGAAATAATTTGATATTTGCCATGATCTCAGTTTTCACTCAAACTAAAAAAGGCAATCCAGACAGTTTCTCAAAGCAGGTGTACATATGCAGCAGATGCATGCTTTTCAGTCCTTCAACCACATCAATTTTTAAAATTATCTGTAATACCCAAGCCATCTAGATCAGACCCACGTTGTTATGAAGAAGGGGTCCCTCCACTAGGTCATATTAGGTAGACAATTTAATTTAGCATGTCTTGCATTTCTTGATGTGGGACAACAGAGGCAGAGAGGTGTGACAGCAACAACTCAGTAAAATTCTGTAGTCACAGAAGACATGAAATGGGCTGTTCTAAGCTATTTCACCATAGATGTCACACCTTCCCGCAGCACCCTCCAATCCCATATCAGTGAAAACTAAATTACCTGTAGTGAAAGCATGAGACAACTCACCAAATCTGCCACAGATTTGTAAGACTGTGCACTAACACTCATCGATACCAGTCCAACTTCTAGCGCTATAAAGGCACTGCCTTGCACTTTCTGCTGTAGATTGAGTTTTATAGATGCTATAAAACATCTAGAAAGCATCTGTGGCAGTACTATACTTACAAAGGATCATTAAAATCAAACTTCACTGGGAAAGGTGGCCTCTTTGGTGATTGCCAAAACAAACCTGTTAAGAAGAGAGACTTAAGATGAAACCCTAGGTAACCAGGAACAGCAATACATGACGTATGCCATGAATTCACAACAGGCACAAAAGGGTATTTGTACTTACTTCCATCTTTTAATCGTGTATCAAGGGGAAAGGAATGAAGGAGCTGAAGAGCCTAGAGGAAAAGTCAGAGTAGCTTTAGTAATTTTTCATATACAGATCGACATGACCACACTAAATCAAACCTTCTTTTTAGTAATGACATGAAATCTCGATTCACTCCAAATCACAGCTGAAGTAATTCAAAGAGTTAAGAAAATCTAAAGACAACTGTGTCAAGATGGACATCTTAAAGATAAGTACTACTGGACAGTGACTTGCCCATTCATTCACAGACAATGATGACAATGTCACCTCATCTGTACAAAGTCCAAACAAGACACTTAATCCAAGAAGCAAAACATTCCCCCCACCCTATTGTCACTTTAAGATTATTGCATACAAATTCACAATTGGGAATGCAACATTTTGTCAATGTGACAATTACCACCAGGGCTTCCATAGGCACAGGGTATGCTTATCAATAAGAAACATCATGATCACATCTTTCCTACAAAATTACACACATACTTTTAAGCAACGCTGTGGACCAGATTCTCAGAATGACTGGCTCTTATTTCAGACAACCTTTGAGAAAATCAGGGTTATGAAGCTGAGTTCAGTAACAAAAGTTTAGTGCAGGAAACAAAAATCTGTTGTTCTTTAGTGAAAGACATCTGATAATCTCACTATTTTGGAAAACACAGTAAGCTGGAAAATTGCCAAGAAAACTGCTTGGAGACTACTGAACAGAGCTACTAGAGTGAGTTAATAAGCCAGACCTAGAAGTGCTACAGTAGAAAGGGATGCAGCATTTTTACATTTCAAGTACATCTCATTATTTATGAAGAAATGGAAGTTAGTGCATAGATTTGGACACCTAGTTATTAGAGCCACCAATTTTTCTAAAGTCCTCGTCAGTCCAGTGCCACCCCATTTACAGGTCTTACCTACCTTATGGCTAAAATACTTCTCAAATTTTACTCTTGCTAGTTCTACACATTGAGTCCAACTTCGGGGTCTTCTACTGAGCGTTTTAATAACATGAAAACAGCCTTCTAAGCTCTCTCCTGATTTTATTCTCTAGATAAAGAAACATGAAAGTGTTAAAACAGACAAGATTCCTTCAAATCCAGTCAAACAGTAAATATGTTTTTAGTAATCCATAGGCGAAAGGAAACAGAGGGTCAATTTGTGAAATATTATCCCTTATGTGATCCTCTTCCCTGGTTTTTTTTTCCCCAGGTGCTGTGGTCTACTTGATTTACTTCCACCCAGCCCTATGTACCACAGTCACAAGAAAAGATAGTAAACATTTGAATCTAATTTATTACATAGTTGAATTCACTTCAAACTCAGTGTTCCTTTTATTTTTTCCAGATAATTATACATCAGTGTGGCATATACTAATCATACGCTAGCAGTGCCTCAGTCTTTCTGATATTTCTACATCATGTACAGAGGATGCGAGCTAGAGAAGCTTTTAATTATGAAACACACCAGAAATACTGTTCATCTGATGATCAGCTAACGACTTGGCCAAATAAGTCTTTAGGTTTTCTGGAAAAAGTCAGAAACTAACCCAAATCTCACGGAATTTAAATAGGAACAAAATCCATAAAGCAGTAGTTTAAACCCTGTATTTTACCCTGGCAACATTCCCTTACCTGTAAAACTTCTTCTGCTGATGGATAGGTTTGCCAGAATTTGTTGAACAAAGAAGGCTTGTGAGAAAACGAACTTTCAAACTATAAAATAAAAAGAACAGATATGGTATTTTGCAAGAAGTATATCAGATCGCCCACCTTTCCAAATACACATTTAGTTATATTGAATCCCAGTAACCTTATTCCACTACCTTATCTCTTGCCCACTGTATTGTATGCTCAATGGCAGCTGGGAAAGACTTCAAGGTGCAAAAAGGTATTTCTTCTTCCGGTGGATCCCGCTGTAATTAAGAAAGGTTGCATGTAAATGCAGACTACTAAAGTTTATTGCTACTAATAGCACCAAAAACTTCTAGACTATAGGTTTAAAACTCCGCTGTTGTAATATACAAAATGGCTTATTTATGCTTAGAAATTTACTTTATGGACACTAATATTATCACTTCCTCTGTATGAAGAATAGTCCAAACTCAACCCTGGAAAGCAAAACTGAACTCTGAAACACAAACAATGGGTGAGACTGCCAGTCAGCTTTTCCAAGATGTGCAGTCCACATTCACATACACTCTCAGCATGAAACACACCCTTTCATACAAGGCCAGAAAGACTCCTTTATGGACACTAGCAAGACTGTTAGGATGCTCCAAATCCTGTCTCTGTGTCCACATGGCATCATTTCAGTGTTCTCAACCAGTGAATTTCTACCTTATAAAGGCAGTTTCATAAGAACTAAAACAGAGGAATATTGCAAGAGTTTGAAGGTTCATTTTCCCCTGCCCCATTCAAACAGAACTGTTATGTATGCTTGTAAAGAACTGTTCAAATTTTATTTCCTTTTCTTCAGAAATTTCTTTCCTAATAATACTGTTCTTCAGCAGCTCAAATAGGCCACTTATTTTAAGCAGACACATAAATGATTAAAGAATCAGAGGGCATTATGGGACTAGTACAGAAGGTGCGCAATGGTCTTAAAACACTTACGTGACTATTATAGGACTCTGTCAGATGGGGGACAATAACTTCTGTGTGTCCTTTTGTTCCCATAGTTCCGGAGTCTATAAGAGGACGCAGGTTTGCTACACAACGACTGACATGGAAAGACACAGACTATCAGCACACAGTGTAATCACTACACTCTTGTATTGCAGACGTTACTGGATTGTAACCAGTTGTCTCTAGGCACTTTCAGAAGAGTGGAAAGCTTACACCAAACTCAGGAAGAAATTAAATAAGAAGAGCTATTCAAGTTAGATCAGAATCCCATAAACTTGAGCCTATGTGGATTATGACCATTAGAAATTATTTTTCAATGTAAACATCTCTATTTTTATATTTAAATACATATTTTTATGAACAAATAATTCAGCCTTCAGATCACCACAGGATTCTCCCACTCATCAGAACTTAACAGCTATTCAGTTTCAAGAACTCACTCCAAGGCTTTCTACTATGTGAACAGTAGCAGCTGCACAACAGCAGAGTTGGTTTCCACCTTGAGTATAAACCTCTTCCTCCCCCCCAGCCTATAAAGGAACAAGGTAAATCGGAGCAATTTGCTATCAGATCTTATAAGCAGTTCCAAGTCAGGAAGAGTAAGAACAGAAAAGCAGAGTTCACACAGAGCATGAAAAGCAGTCCTTGCTTCCTTTCCACACCCTACCTATCAATGTATCTCCTTGCTTCAACATTGTCCAAAGCGGTTACAATCACATCTTGCTTGGTATAGAATTCATCGCTGTACGTATTCTCAGTGGCTGGACAAACTTTATTAATATCTGAGTCAATCTTTACAGAAGGATTGATGTTCAGAGTTGCTTCTGCTGCAGTATAGCTCTTAGGTTTCTGAAAGTATGAATACATAAATATACATAACTATGACACGGAGACTGAGATAAAGAACAATATTGAGATAAGGAACATCTGAGACACAGAAATATCAACTTCATTTGTTGATCAAACAACAATTCACTGACAGAAATGTAGTATGCAAAACAGAATACAGGCAATTTTTTAATCATATACCTCCCTCACTGATATATATCTTATTAATATAGGAGTTTTTTATTTTTAGTTTTATTTAAAGCAGTGTGTCAGAGACCACATGGTGAAAGTGCTTGAATGGTGCAGAAGTTTATTGAGTAACTGATGCCACATGTTGCCTCTCATGCTCTCAAAATGCCCTAAGAAAGGAGCAGTTCATGACTGTCAGAGGATAAACCCCTTAGTAACTGTGACCATGTCTATGCAGCATAGACATCAAACAGCTGTGAATAATCACATTACTGCAAGGTATTCCATACAAAGCCAATTTCAGAACCTAAACTGAAAGAGAGTTCTTAACCTACCTGACACTTCTAGCCATACTACATTCAGTTTATCTAGGGATCAGCACTCAAGACAGTGTGGCTTCTGAAAGCTTGAAGGATTCACATTCCATTTATCTATCTATCCAAAGTGTAATCTGTTCCCAGATTTGCTACACATAAACAGGAGGCAGAAAATTCAGCTGCTGGGTTTTGGGCAGGGGAAACCTTTTTCCACATTGCTGTCAAGATCTGAGCCACCTTTTTTATTTTGTGCTGTGCTTGCAAGTTCGAGGATGTTCTCTCTGCTTCTAAGGAATTAACAGCTGTGTCATGCACTTACTGAATGTACTTTTTTTTTTTCAAAGATATTTATCAGCTTAATGGAGACTGAATGAAGTCAGAAGATAGCAACTTCAGTGAAGTTCCATCAGCAGTAGCACTACTGAGGTCTATTGAGAACACTTCTGCCAGCACTGCCTGTTTTCGGTTGTTTTATTTTCCCTGAATTTCAATGTTATAGTAAAGTATTTCTGACACATTAACCCGTGGCAACTTCTTATGCAACACAGCACTCCTGATTGTCAAGTCTGAGGGATTTCATTAGTCAAAGACACCAGTACACATTAAGGTTAGACGATCCAATTTTGCTCAATTGATACTAGTGATAAGTGGGATGCCATTGCAGTTCTAGGTATTGTTTTTTAAAAGCTTGGATTTCATTACAGCCTTTAAGTCTTTTCTAGACAGAAGTACAGACACAATTCAGCTCGCTGTGGAGACACAGGACAGAGAAACACGACAATAGTCCAGAAAATTTACTGAATAAGAAAGCCTACCTGTATGTGATGAGGTCGAAAAAGAAACTGCCTGTTCAAGTTGGATTTCTCTATCAAGTCTGGATCTGTAATTGTAACCTAAGTCAGAAGGGGCAAAAGCAACAGCTGAAGTTACAACTTAAGTGTAGCACTGAGCAATGATACTGATGCAATCTCTACAGACACTTTTCAAAACAAAGCACTGCTGTTGGCATCAGCTCTGGCTAAAAGCTCTGCCTATCCTGACTGACTAAATTTTGTTTTAAAATCAAAATACAGCAAGAATGTATTTTATGTGTTCTGTTTCTAATTGCAGACTTCTTCCACTGTATGCCAAGGCCATTGTACCCTCTGCACAGAGATCAACCTGAAATAAGACTCAGACTTTTAACATTTATAGTAATTTATTTAATTATTCCTTATCACATTACTTTTTAATAAGAGAAGCAAGGTTAACAAGTGACTTACCAATCCTTTGTCATGCCCAGTACCAACACCAAGAAGTGCAAAGTTTTTTAGCATTTCACAGCCTATCGCTCCGCAGCCAACCTAAAGAAAATCACAATTTAAGTCAGACGCATAAGTGAAAACCAGGAAAACAAGTATAATAGAGAAGCCCCATTAAAATTTTGGACTATTTATTCCTCAATGGCACACATCAGAACTGCCCTCATTATTTTGAAGACAGTGGACATTAGTTGTATCAACAAGGCACTTGCAAAAAGTGTGTCAGTCATACTCACCAAGAAAACATTTAAATCATGGAGCTTCCGGCACAGAGAGTCTCCAATACAGGCCCTCAAGGCATCATACCTATCTCCCCTATGCAGGCACAGGAGATAAAAACAGGAGAACAGCAAGTTGCCATTTATCATGGTAATACCATTGATGCCAAACTGCACTTTGACATAACTAAAAAAGTCAGAAGCTATCATTCCTGCTCCTCCCATGCTCAAATAGAACATACATTCTTAACTCCAAACCCATTCAGTGCTGCAAATAGCACTGAATTAAGTTTAAAAGACATCTTCTGTGCCTGCTTGAGACTCAGATGTGTACATAAGCCAGTAGATTGTAGTTGTATTTACCGTGGGAGAAATTCTTCAGAGCCCACCTTCTCCAGAGGCATTACAATGTCTAACACATCTATATATAGCTGCAAAAAAAAAAAAAAAAACCAAACCATAAAAACCTGTGAAAAATAGTAATGTTATTTTAATTTTAAAAACTAACTATTTTCTATGAACGACAGAGTTTAGAAATTTAGAAGCACTAATTTTTTACTGTCAGTGGAAGACTATACAGCATTTGGTACCCTACAGTTTACTTCAGGAAAAAAGCAGGAAAAAGCAACTGGACACAGAAGGGAAAAAAGCTCATTCAAACAGGTGAGCTGCAAGGACAAGTATGTTACCCCTCCAAAGGTAACAGTGAAGACTGTGATGTTTTTTAATCTAACTTTACTCTGATATTTATCCTCAGAGTCTGAAAGTACTGCTCTTATGTACAGTAGCTTAAGCTAGCATCTGCCCTATATCACACCTTTGCAGCCATGAACTAATAAGCCAATGCTCTCTTTGCTCGTGTGAAAAGTGTTGTGTGAACTCCAGGTGCAAAAAAATTTAATAAAACTGGTTGTACTTTTATTGTACACATAAAAACGTGTTTTTTACTAAATTTAGTCTCGAGTCTTTTTTTTTTATTTTCATGTTATAAAAGTTGTTCAGGTTATTTTGATCGTACAGCACTTTACACACAACTATCCATTCAAAACATGTCAAAATAAACATCCAAAACCAAAGACAGTCTTACCCACTGCTGCAATGGAGAAAATTTTCCCGTTACTGCTTTCAAGACTTCCTGGCTAGCAACACCACCCACTGCTGCAGCCAGAGGAGGTAGAAATCCCTGAGCAGTCCGAGACAGCCATTTTACCACATCACCATTTACCTGAGGCTGAAAAGTAAGACATGGTAACAAATTCATCCCCTCAATGAGCAAAGTCAGTCCAAGACAGATTTACAGATTATTATTCTTCAGTAAAAGACAAATTATTTCACTCTGACTAGCAAAAACGTTTCCAGTCAAGACAGATCCACCATATATCCTGCATTTGTCATATGCATTTGTTTAAAAACTGGATTCACATAGCCACAGGATTCAGCCTTCATGTCAGGTGAACATTCAGTTGAACCCATGCTGAAACACCATTCTGTTCCCGTGCATGGCCTTCAGAAAGCCAGCTGATCCATCTGAAGATGGATCCAGAGACCAGAACAAGGACCGACAACTAAAGTATGACCTTTAGGCAACTAAATAAGCACATAAAAAAATTACTTATAATGACAATGATTCCTTACTCACTTTATTTTCCAGTGTTTCACTTATAGACGTGGCTATTTTCAGCATTTCCTCAGCATCCTGAAGGCATCTAGACATCAGGGTAGAAACAACAATGATGAGTCCTTCTAGAAACATGATCAATGGAAGAAAAAAGCAATGGATACAGTAGGAAGAGTCTGGAAATTTACACTGTCTTTAACTGTAAGCATTAAAGATGTACTTCTAAACGTTAGGGTTAGCTCAGGAACAAGAGTCTCAGTGTAAAAGCCCATAAGCAAGTAGAGTTTTAATATTTACACTTTGTAAGTAGTTTTGTCTCATTTAGCTCAAAATTATGCAAATCAAGAACTACAGCTGAATAAAAAAATACTGAAAATGAAAACCAAACCCTTCAGATCTTTTTTTTAAACCCATAAACTACAAGATAATTTGGGATCACTGAAACAACTCTTCCATATTAATCACACAATGTGAAAAAACAAGAACAGAGAAGGCCTTCCTGCATAAGCCGTTTCTGTCTACCTGGGACCAGGAAGTGTCATTGCTACATTGGGAAGGCCCCGTCACACACCCAGATGCGTGCAATAGGTAACATTTTTCATCTAGATTTCAACTTTTCATTTCTATGTGGTCTATTAAGTACCAGACAGACAAGGTACCCTGCTGCACATCAAACCAGTAACTACAATCAAACAAGAGGAGAGATCTGCCTGATTCAAGGCTTAGCAAAGACAAAACTGCTGCATTACCCAATGTTCGGTCCGCGACCAAAGTTCTCCTGGAAGTGGTTCAAGGCAAGCATGGCAACATGGATCTGCAAAGGAGTCTGTTAAGACAACAATAACTGTTGATCAGTTACAAACTAGAGAAAAAATAAACAAAAGCAACTATTTGAACTCTTCTGTTACTATTTCACTTCCTTGTCTCTTAACCACAACGCTCAAAAAAAGTTTTTAAATAGCATTAAAAAGTGAATTTGAAATATCTCATACTAATATTTTTACAAGAAGTATTACTCAGTGTTAATGTAATACCCTTCAAGCACATTCAGCAGCTATTTCAACTAAGTCCAACTGAAGAGTCCCCAAAAGAATTTAGTGCTGAAATTGGAAAATGAAGTAATCTTCTTTTAACTAGACATTATAATGCACTGCATTTTGTCAAGTGTCAATAACAAGGCCCAGCATTAAAAGTGAAAAGTAGAAAATCTTAACAGGTAAGTCAGACCCTATATTATCAAACAAACAAAAAAATAATTACATCAACATTGTTTAGTTTAAAATTTTCATAAGCCAGAGACTTACATGCCTTCCATGTCCACAATACTTATCTAAAAGCGCGATAGAGGCAAATACTGCTAGTGTCCTCTCACAAATTTTAAAAAGATCTCTGAATCATTTTTTTTCAAAGAAATAAAAAAAGTATCCTTACACTATTAATTCCAGTTTCCAACCCACCTGTGATCACCTTTTTATGATTATTCCAGCTTTGATATCAGTGTGATTTTTATCAACTAATATTATTAAATATAGGAAAAAAATTATTGTGTCACTTGCAAAATTTCCACTGTCCTGAATTAAAGACTTATCAAAACCTGAGATTTTAAACAGCAAAGGTGGCTGAGCTGTGCATTTACAACATACTTGTTGCAAATCATGGATAACGAGCCTCTATGGTAATCTAAATCATAATGTAAATTCTGTGTGACTACACAAACTGATACCTCACTCCTACTTCACACTTTAAAATGGTATTTAATTGATATAGAATAGTTAGGAAATTATATTATTCTAAACATAAAGCTACAGATGACAACATGTAGTTTAAATATTAAAGCACCTATGCCCATATCCCCACATTCTGATTACCTCAGGCTTGCTAAAATCTGCAACAAGGCATAATGGATTTGTTATCTGCTTCTCCAACCGTTCCTGGAAAACAAGAATTCATGACAACAACACGCCACTTAAGAACACAACAGTCGCTGCTACCTGACAAAACAATACTCTTTCTGTAGAGACTAAGAAACAAATCTTTTCTTACTAGCATTGCTATTACTCTCTATTATTAATCCAGAAAAGATGCTTAAAATAATCATCTACTGCAAGTTCTGTCTATCAAAAAAGGTCAGAGACAGGTTTCACATCCTAGTGGCAAGACTCATCTTTAAATGGGTGCAATTTTTGGGGTTGTCCTGTACAAAGCCACTAGATGGGATTCCATGATCCTTGTGGGTCCCTTCCAGCAAAGGATATTCTATGATTCTAGGAAACTGCTCTGAGATTAGTTACCAGGGATTTTATTATTTTATTGGCAACTGGCTGTTTGCTTGCAGAACTTCCCCACTCCAGAGGAACAGGAAGGTACTGCTTCACAGAGACAAGACACAGTGCTGTGCATTCTCACATCAGAAGCAGCTGGTCCTCACTCCCAGGTTTTTAGAAGAATGTTTGAGGGCAGTCAGGATCTACCTTCTGCAGGCCCATAAAGGCAGCATGTGTATTGCAAGCCCTCTTACACAAATTCACCCAGTTGTCTCTTCTCAGAAGGCCACCAATAAACCACATATTTGTAGATCTTTCTGAAGCCTATCCCAGCAGTACAGGGGTAAGCTGCCCATAATTATTTTTTTTCTCTACAATGGTAGGCACTTTGAAGTATTTCCTATTCTCTGTCGTTTAATAAATCAGTATCACTATTCTCATCCAATAAAATTAAGTAAACCCAAATAACTGGTAACAAAATCATGTGTCTGCTGAACTCTGCTTCCAGTGCTCAGACCATTAACGCTCAAGAACTCAGCTATGTCAAGCACACACTTACAAAGTAAAACATCTTGGGAGTCTTCACTTGCACAGCTATGCCTCCGTGTAAGTAAGGCTCCATTTCTGATGTATCACCAATGCTGAAGGAATAAGGTGACACCACTGAAAAGACAAGAGAATAAATAGTGACTGATAATTCAAAGTGTCACTGGATGCTATAATTCTGTATATAACGTGGGGTTTTGCCAATGCTTTTTGTGCTGTAATTTTGTAGTGTGCAACCTTGCTTTGAAAGCATAAAACACAGCTGATCCTCATAACAGGATTGTCCCTCTGCCAGTTTCTGGGTTAAAGTATTAGTTTCACATGATCTGTTATGAAATGAGCTTTTTTAAGTGGCAGTAGATTTAAAAAGAATTCTGATGACCACAGCTCTGTAACAAAAATGAAATCACACTCAGTTTTATTTAGACTGTGCACAGCAGTGTCCAGAATACTGCTCAGAGTAGGATTTTAGCCCTGTGATGAGAAAAACAGGAAATCAAAAAGGGCAGCTAGACTATTTTGTCACATCTTCCCCCTCATACATGTGAAGCATGGTTCAGACAAAAAGACACAAAAAATGTTAATCCATTAACATTAACAAAACTGAAAACAAAAGCTAGGCCATGATTAAGAAGAAACTGGCCACAGCATCAGCACTAGGAAAAACACATGGGTCCAGAGAAAACAGATTCAACTGCATGTTCCAAGGGTATTGTTTTTTGCCTCAGACCACAAAATAGTTTAAAAAAAACAACCAACCCCCACCCACTTGCTCTCTCTTCTCCTCCGAATGAACAGGCATTGAGATCTGGAAACTGCAAAATTCCCCACCATCCAAAAGGAACCAAGTAGTATGCCTTGAGACATGCACACTACAAGCAGAACAAAGCAGAGTAGACATAAATAATGAAAATAATTTCAAAAGCATGCTTAGAACGAGAGCCATGTCAATGCATTGCTGTATACTTAAACTGTCACCCAAAAAAATCTACAAGGCAAACAGCGACACACAAAGTGGCACCCAAAACCATGACAGAAACACAGGTATTATAGGATCCTCCAAAAACCAAACCAGTTTCATCAGCCAACTAATGACGAAAGCTCAGAAGCTGCCAACTAGATTCCACTGGCTAAGCATTTCCATTGGCTTCTTAAGTGGCAAGAGTTAACTCCTGAGTTTGGAAAGACTTTACTAAATGGAAATGGAGTCAAGATAACACTAGAAAGAGCTCTGTACCAAAATACAATTTTTTTTATGAAAGCTCACTGGAGGTCTGCATAATCCAGCACTCCTCTGGCTACAGTAACTAACACTACAGTGAGCTAAACCAGGCCAAAAAATAAATACCTACCAAATGAGTCAGCAAGTTTACCTGTTATTTGGTGTGTAGATCCATTTAAGCATGACATTCCATTAACTTCCCGAAAGGTTAAGAACTGTCCTGTTTCAAGTCTGTGTGGATGATTTTCAAGGCAAGTGACAATACCAGGATTTGACTGAAATAAAAAATGGCAAAATTAACAAGGAGGAAAGCATCTTGTGCAAAGGGGTCATGTTTTATTGTATGCACATACCTTTTTGACTACTGAAACTGCAAACTAATACTTTTTACACCTCATTTCTGTCGTAGTAAGAGAGTTACCTATGACAACATTTCCAGTCCTACTACTTTCAATTTAAGTGTTTCTATAACACAAACTTTCTTATTTTCACTGTTTATAGGTCTCAGCACGTTTGCAAACTCCATTTGTTATTTCATACCAAATTCATTGTTCTGTTCTGAAGTAGTACCAAATTTATATCTGTTTCCAAACCAAAAGTACACTATATGTACAGAGAAATTTTCACAGGCACTAACAAATAAAGTCTTGTGAATAGTCCTTATTACTCCATGCTTCCTTTCTGTCTGATCTCCTTAAAAAGGACACCCCAAACTCATTCTTGAAAGTTAGGAAGCTTACAAAGCTGGACATCAGCATACAGGATACACAGCCTCAGTAGATCACAAAAGATTGTATGTGCCACAGTTTCTTCTAAAAAGAGCTCTTTTCATGCCTATTTAAGGGCTTCCTTAGAAGATTTATCCTAATCCCACCTAAATTATGTCCTCTTCTCTCTACATCTCATTTCTTTCTCTTTCTCTCTCTCCAATTAAAAAATAAAGGATTCAATACTGTGATGTTACATTGGCAGTAACAACCAGGAGGCATCAGTATGCTCTACAATGTTAACATGGTTGGTTTTGATTGAGACACAAGAATGAAGTAACTTTGTTTGCCTTTGATATACTGCCAATTTTAAACTGCTTTTTCAAACAGCCAAAGAAAAGCAAAGCAGCACAACGACTTTCTTCCCTTACCTGTGTTATATTTGAAATGAAGATCTCCTTTGGCTCTTCTCCCGTTGTATCCAGCACTTCAAATTCATCACCAAAGTCACAAAACAAACGTGAACATACTCCATATACATCTGCACTGATAAACTTCAAGAGGAAGTAAAAAACATTAGTATCCCTAGAACAGCACAAGCCAAAGGAATGATGCCTCAGAATGAATCTTGATGAAGGCTAGCAGGTTTAACTTCTATGGTAGAAACCTGTCATGTGTACTCAGGCCACTGACTACATAGCACAGCATTCATAACAGACTTTGAACTTGCACAAGCATTTCTGAACCCACACACAAAAAAACAGTGAAGTACTGCCTTTTCTACTACTGTTACATTCAATCTCAGCACATTCTTCAGTCTCAGCACAGTCTTTCAGAACAATTGTGAGTTAACAGTGAAAACTATTTCTTTAACACTATATTTTTTTTCAATTAAGAATCAAGCTATGGTTATCTGTAGTGGTATCCAGATAATAACAGACACACGTACAGAATAGCAGCATCATATTTCCAAAACTTCTATTGTTCCATCAACATGCCATCTGCATAGAATATAAACCTCATAACCAGCTTTCTTCACTTTTGGAAAGAACATGCTGGAGGTTCAGAATGCTCACTGTACAGATTATTCACATCCTTCATTTTTTCTATTCACATCCTTCATTTTTTCTATTACCTTAATAGGTGGCTGCTGAGCATGACAGAAGTCATTAATCTTCTTCTGTAGCAACAGACTTACTTCAGTCAATATGACACACTGTGAACAAGAACAGAAATACTTCTATGACACTGAAAGCAATCAATATCTTCAGGCCATGGAAAAAATAGTACTAAGAGTAAGTTACTCAGGTGTCCTGACTCCTATCCCCCACACATAGCAGAGACAGCAGTACTGAGGAAGTTCTCTCATTTGAACAGGCTGGTTAGTGCTTCACAAGTTCTGAAAACAAAATGAGTAAGAGCAGGAACAGCAAATTCTCTTTTTTTTTTACTGCAGCTGTGAAATTCAAAACTTAATTAGAACATTTACCAAAACAATTACGGATAATCTCAGCAAAAATGCAGATCTTAATTTTAAGATTAAAGCTAACAAAACAGACACAAATGATACTCATCAGTGCACACCAAGAAGTCTACATAAGCTTCAAGTACTGGCGCTCATAGAATTGCAGACATACAATTTCTGCAAGCATTCTTTTAACATTTAGGATAGTACTGGGTCCCAGTTATACATGGTTTATTGTAGCTGGGACATTCAGAAACTTGGTGTGCTTGTGTATAAATGCCAGCCACATTGCAAAGGCTCCCCACTGTTCTCCTGCACACAGGCAAGAGATAAGTGACTGACCAACTGCAAACATCCTCACTCCACCACAGAGGTGCTTGCGTTTCTTTAGATGCATACATACATAAATGATCTTTCCTATTATACAGCCTGAGTTTCTACTGCCTGGAATACAGCACACAGAATATATGTAGAGCACCTGTGCTATGCAGCTGCAAAAGAAGGTCACAGTTTCAATTTCAAACAAAAAAAATTGTATGACAACCCCACTTAGCTATTTATTGTCATAGCAAATTCAATAACAAGTGTCATAAGAAAGTGCTAGGAACACAAAACCACTGCTTCAGCCTTGGAAAAAAACAAGCACAACACTTTCACTGGCATAAATACAAGACCTACTTCTTTCTTTATAATCCCCTCAGTATGTACTTTAAAGTTACTCATTTTATTTACTTCCATAAAAAAAAGAAACCAAGTCACTTGCTCTGAGGCAAATACACATACAACTGCTTCAAGAGTGACATACCTGGTACTGCTTCAGAAAAGACAGATCTGTGGTTTCATCTAGTGGCACAGTTGATGCTGCTACATGGACATATGGATTGAGTTCTGCAATATGATGAAGTGTGGCCTCAGCCCTGAAAGAACAGCAATTTTCAAATTTTTTATATAACTACAAAATACATTTTCAGTACAGAATTTCATTACACACATGCCCTACAAGAGTCCCTCATGAAGTTCCCTGGCAACAGCCATCAACTCTTATTCACACTCAAATTCCTAGCAGGTATGAGAAAAACAGCTCTGCCCAATATACAGCAGGACTCACTGATGTCTGATGTCACGACTGTTGTATAGTCTTGTACGAGTGCCTGAGAAAGCCCAAGGAAGAAATGTACAGTGGTCCCCCCCATTAAATTCACATTACAAGCTCACAATAACAAGAAGTGAGATGTGTGACTCAGAACCTCAGTCCCAATCTAGACTTCCTCTAATATCTACCTGGGCACTGTACTTGAAGCCAACGACTCCAGGTTAAGGGTTTAACAGGTATTTGATATGTATTAGTAGCTCTTGGATAACGAAATGTCACTTTTGACATTGATGAAACTGTTACTCCTAGTCAAGTTCAGCCCTCCCTCACTCCAAAGACTTCACCAACCTGTTCCTTTGATTGGTAACATCATCTTCGTGGATGAAGAAGTTGATCCCCAAATCCCAATTAGTGCAGTGCTTGGTGTCATGAACTGTAAGAGCCTAAGAAAGTTCAGCAAAAAGCATTTACTGGAAGAAGTGTACATGGTCACAGCACCCAAAAAGATGGATTAAGCTCCACATAAAATGCTGGGGGACCAGTAGTACAGAAGATTTAGTTGTAGCATGTATACAAACAAGCTCTTCCAACCTCCTTCCCAAGAAAATTCTTACTGTTTGAGAGGCAGAAACATATATCCAATATGCACTTCATTAAGCATTTCCCTCACAGTTTGCTGTGATGACAGCATTTAAATATCAAAGATGATTTTTGCCAGACTGTGATACGAGGCAATTGTGATCTGTAAATTAACGGACTCATAAGCTTTTTTCTATTGGAAGAAAGAATTTTAAAAGGTTTCTCTAATAAAATTAATCCCAGCAGCACATGAGCAGATGTTAGATTAAAATATTCAACCATTCTAACGACTACACAAAAGGATTCTGATGGATGACAAAATAGGATAACGTATTTTGAATAGCTTGGCTTTTGAGTTAATATCACACTATTTAGGAGAAGTCACTTTGTACAAAAGTATTCAATATCTGATCAGCAGCTGGATAAAATATTCTACCAGTTATTTCAGAATCCAGGGGACATTAATGTGAGAATCTGACCACATCACTAGAACATCCAGATTATTGAAAGTTTCCACTCCCAGGTTCTCAAATGTTTTGCAATCCTTCTACTGAAGAACAGATTCAGAAACCTAAGATTAACTAGCTAGTGTTGTGCCTTTTTCTCATGCTCACCCAAGAAGATCCAACAACAGAACTGTTTTACATACCTTTACCCCAGCCAGAATGATATTTTTGGCTGAAACAAAACAAAACCAGAGTTAGGGACTGTTGCAGGTTTCTTGCAAATCTGTAGCTGGATAGTTATGTAGGTGGACAATAACATGTACATCATTGTTAAGAACTTCATAACTTAACTTTTTTTCTCTTTTACATTTGGCTCAAGCATTCTACAGCACCACTGAAAGCAAAATAATATGTGCAAGGTTAAAAAAGCTCTCTACATTTGTCATTTGTCAGCTGTTCATCCCACAACTGTGTGATTACAGAGATACTAATGCCAATAAACTGCAAAACCCCATGACTGTTCTGGCATCTGGTGCAGAGAACCATTACAGCCAACTGAAGAGGTAACACCCCAAGTACGAACCAGCCAAGACACGTCATGTTCATAAAGAGGTAAGGGAAATTGTTAAGGAGTTTCTTGCACCAGGACAGTATTTTTCACCAAACTGTACTGTTCTCCTACCTCCCACCCTCCCATTTCCTACCCGAGGATAATTTGGGCTACAGCTGTTCTGTATTACATTCATTGATACTTATGCCTAATGGAAAAACTTGGATTATCCACCGTAAACCTTCACCCTAGACACAAGGTTTTGGGTAAAGCAATCTGGCCCGTGGAAGCACATTTTAAAGCAAAATTTGAAATGTTGTTCTAGTAAAATGATAACTTAAGTCCAGGATCTTTCCTGCATCTGCTACGTTAGTCATATGCATCATGCACACATAAATTCACCCAGATACTTCAGACATGTTTATTATATTTAAAATTAAGTTTACAAGTATTCTGTGATAGTCTACTTACGTACACTTGTGTCTCCTTAAATAAATGCTATCTAACTTACCAATCTCCACACCAAGACCACCTATACCACTCAGGAATACATGGGACTGAGCCATCTTCTGCATTGCTGTGTCTCCAAGAACATACCTCTGACGACTACAGCAAAGATAAATTCAGATCAAAACACAATAAAACAAAGTTAGGAGCATATTAAAGCAAGTTGAGAAATCCTAATAATAATTAAAAAAAAAGCTCAAATGTTTTCAGTTATTCTATTATCCTAACAAGTCTCTAATCTGCAATAGCAAGTTCTGCAGGTGAGTGTGCATCATTAGTGACACACACACACAGTTCTCTTTACCAACCCTCCATCCAACGCACAACTGAGGACATAAAATGTGTATCTGAACTCTACAGTGCTTCAGGAAATAAATGCAGATCAAACATAATACTTGCACTCACAATCCATGTAGTGAAATGCACTTAGTACAGAGCTTGTCAGTTCCAGGCTTTAGAGAATATAAATAACTTTTCATTTTAAATCAATGCGAAACTTCTTCAGGATAATAGTTTTGTGCAATTAACTATTGAAGACACAAGCAAGCAAGCAAAAGAATTTGTTAACACAAAACTTCAAAGTAGAGAGTGCCACAGCTGAACTCTGAAAGACTCCTAGCTTCCAACTATACAATTAAACCATTCGAAACACCACCTTTTTTACCAAGGAAAAGCATGACTTTCATGAGACTACTGCCAAAAAGCGTAGTGATACTTACACCACCAGAATCACTGCACTAAATTAAAGAGAAGCTTAATTTGTTCAGCATACAAGTATTTTTTAATTTTTTTTTTTAATACACAAAGAAGCTTTTCATCCCATCACACTTCCAGGTATGCCATTTGTTCCAGTAGAGATTCTCTGAACTATTGCCATGCCAAGTATCTCAAGACACTCCCAGTTAGCAAATTAAAATAAAACTAATAACAAAATAAATAACTTAAAAAAAAACCTACAAAAAAGTTCCTCAAAATCCAATACTCGGAAGTCCAGAGGATAAGACAGATACTGATGATGTTTATGAGGACCAAGAAGTATGGCAAAAACTGAGGAATTAATGAAATTATGAAGGAGATAAACTACATAATGTAGAAAAGGCAAAAAGAAGGAAGTGAAAGAAGATGGAGAGCAAGAAAGAGAGGAATATATACTTTGTCAAAGAAGAAACAAGCTACGGGCAGAAAGAAATCCATATTATAAACATGAGAAGTATTATTCCTGTTTTCCAAAAAGTAAATATCATTGCTACTACTGAAACTCTGTACATCTCCATAATATTTACCTATGCTTTTTACTGGTCAAATACTAACAATGGTCAGAAAACACCTGTTATGAGCCCAATAAAGGAACAATTTTAAGAAAGGTAGATTGCATCTTCAGTTCAACCAGTTCCCACCACTTACTCAGCAAGAGGTGGGTTCTGTTTCACTGGTTGAACATTTTGGGGTTTTTGCATTAGAAAAGGTGGGACACAGCAGCACAAGTATCCACATCTTTAACTAACTGGCAGCAGAGAGTGTTTTCAAGCCTTGTCTTCATCATTACTGCATGCAAACATGAGTGTTCCTGAAAAGTCAGGAGGAATGCTTAAAATTTAGATATTCTTACCTGTACAAAGCATCATCAATTTCCATAGAGTCTGCTGCCATGATGGAATGTGACTCGTTTACACTGGAAGGTTTACAAAAAGAAATCAACTGGTTACATCGGATGCAATTTCACAGTTGGCACCCCCTCCCCTCCCCACTCAGTTCTTCACTAAAAGAACTGAAAAGCACGTAAGTGATGTTACACAGGAGTGATTTTGAACATTAGGAAACCTGTAGAACACCACAGCACCTAGGTAGCGAAAACACACAGGAGTCAGAAGACGAGCACCCTAAATCCTTGATAAATGCTTTCAAAATACAGATATATTAATTTCACCACGGAGGAAATGCAAGACTTATTTCTTGTATTTGCTACGGTTAGATTTACTGAAAGTGCAACTTCATTTTATATTAACAGCTTCAAGCTGATTAACATGCATCTACCTGATCAGTGGGTTTTTCTGAAGATAAGAGATTCCTGAATTACAAGAAATAGGTATTTATGCTGCATTATTTCCATGCTAATTGAAAATCCTTATGAAACAAGTTACTGTTTTAGCTAACAGAAGAAATCAACACACAAAGATCTGAATTAATGCAACATTTAACTAAGACATGCAGTTAAACAATTCAATAGCATTTTAAGAAAAAAAACATAATTTGTGCTATTGAGGCCTTCAGCCACTAGCAAGGACTTTTTCATTGCTAAATTGGTGATAACTAAGCACCAGGATTAGGAATAAACTACCCTGGGCAGCTTGTTTCTTAGTTATGCAGGCTGGGAACTGGTGCTTCCTGAACCTGGTAGGTGACTGACATCAAATGCAGGATGAGCAGAACAGATCCGATGTGTACCCTCGGACACAGCTGAGGTTCCAGGTCACACAGCTTATTTCAATTCCCTACAAACTGCCTTGGAAACCAGACATGGCTGACAACCCTATCTCCTGAAAAGCACTAAAGTAGCACAGCAAGACAGTTACATTGGAGACAGGCCACAAATCTCATAAGCTAAGCTCTTCCACAGGGTGGACAGTAACTCCTGCATGTAAGCTGGCACACAAGACAATCGACATGAGGCACCTCCATCACAATCTACACCACTAGCCACTCAGTGCAGCTCCCGTGCCCCCACACAAGGGCTGAAGACAAGCAATGCCCTTGTTACTAGACCATCCTAGGACCTAGATCTCAAGCCAGAGTGCAACACACCACATCTTACAGTCACAGGCTTCAGTCCCTGCTTAAAAAAAAGCCTTCATTTCAGTCACTGCCTGCGACACAAGACTGGAAATTCCCTTCAAAGCAAGCCAGCATCATTTTGTAAAAGAGTAGAAAAACAGTCCTAGAGCTGTTCTGCTCCTCCACAATCCTGCTCCACAAACAGCATTGACAGTCTGGGACTATCCGACACAAAATGAGCGTGGTACTAGGGTGGGGAAGGTGATCCACCCCTGAACAAAAACTCTCAGCTTTCTCAGCTGTGGTTGCTGACTGCCATCTCAATGCACGAGCTCTCCCAAACAGTCTTTTGTAAACAATTAGGCTGTGCAATCAACCAACAAGAGAACCTTCACCACCTATATCTCGTAGACTTGTCTGACAGTGGCTCTTCCCATGCATTTCTTAATTCCCTATTCTCCTCCTGCACTCCCAGTTACAGCACTGAGATGCTGCCAGTGTATCCATCAAGTACAGCAAAACAGATCCTTTGACAAGGAGGACTTAATGATACTACAGTCAAGTGACTCTAGGACAAACTTTGGTTAATGTATTCCCGCATCCAAGTTGTATTTCTCATTCTTGTTTAACCAGCATTGAATCTGTTTCAAATAAATGCATGTAAAAAAGTCATTCTAACATTATGTCCTAATTCTTACCAGAGGTTTGACCTTTATACACTTGTCTATTTCCTGTTAAAAGCCAACGCTATCAGTTTTAATGCCAGGTTTGTATTTAATGCGTAATTAATTTTTTTAAGCCTCAGCTGCTTGTGTCACATAACCCAGGGACAAACTGAGAAGGTACATGTTACCAAGAAGGGCTAAGATGCTCTGAAGAGCAGCGAAGGCACAGGAGCTGTAGTGGTGTGCTGGTTTCACAGTGTTCCTTACCTCCAATCAGTGCAGGTTGAAGCAGTGGTAACTACTTGTTGTTCAGCACGCTGGGATGGCAGGGAGGCCTGGACTCATCCCACCTACCCAGGGTTTCCAGCGGTCGATCCCAGCCGATGCAGGCTCCCTGTTCAGTCGGCGGAGAAGAGAGAGAGAGAGAGAACGTAAGAAAGGACGCTCAGACCCACAGCTATTGCCCAGCTGGGCCAATGGGGGCACACTGACACCTCGGATCTGCACCGGGAAACCCAGACAGAGTCCACCGGCTATCCCGAAACCAACCCGACCCGGGTCCCAGCAGAGCCTGGCGGCTGCAGCCCCTATTCGA